GCCACTCTACAGATAATTGCTCATACACACCTATTGGACGCATGGCTGCCAAATGGCCATCTACTCCGCAATCTTCTCCTCAATCTCTACTACCACTTTGGGAGCAAGTTGGCCCTGAGGGACTTTTTAATATACATGTGCCTTTCTACCTTTCTGACTTATCTCAGATTACCCATAAATTAGGTAGCTTCTCTGTTGACCCACAGAATTATACCAGGCAATTTGAATTTATAACTAATTGTTATGATTTACACTTTAAGGATATTTATGTGATACTAAATACCACTCTCAGCTCACAAAAATGAACTCAGCTATGGCAGACAGCTCGAGAAGAAGCTGATCACAGACATAAGTTGAACACCACTGATAATGACCCTTGAACTACAGCTGTGCCAGAACAAGATTCTGACTGGAACTATCAAAATGGATAAGGTTCAACAAAATTACATAAAGTGATTGAGTGTCTAATTGTGGGCCTTAATAAGATTGCTCACAAACATACTAACTATAACAAACTTTTAGAACAGGTCCAGGAGGCTAATGAAAACACAGCTACGTTCCTAACTTGGCTGTGAGAAACCTTAGTTAAGTTTACTAATGTGAACCCAGACTCTCAAGAAGGGATAATTATTGTTAACTCTTATTTTATTTTCCAGGCTGCTCTGGATATTTGGGCAAAATTACAAAAGTTGAACATGGCGCTCAAAATCCACAAGGTGATCTGCTTAAATTAGCTTTCTTTCTCTTCAAAAATAGAGAAAAAATTCAAAAACAAGAAAAAGAAACTCAAAAAATAAAGTTTGCTAAATATCAGTGTGATCTATTAGCAGTTGCATTTGGGGCTCCAAGGACAAGAAATCCAAATCAAGGTGTGGCTTTCCGAAACCCGGACAGACTGAGGCTTAATTGCAGCAAACAAGGACACTGTTTCCTCAGCTCTCCCAGCTTCTATTTACTTATGTATTTCTTTAAAAACAGAGCCACACTAAGTTGTTCAGGCAAGATTTGAACTTGTGATCCTCCTATCTCGCCTCTCAAGTGCTGGGATTACAGTCAGGTGCCACCGTACCCACGGAGCTCTTGACCCAAAGTGATAAAGAGTATTTCAGTTTGGCCTGTGATGTCTGGAAAATTTCTTTCTGGAACTCTGACGATAGAAAAGTGCTCAGTAGTGTGCCCTGGGGCAAGTTTTTGATTTCTCTGGTCCTCAGTTTCCTGGTGGGTAAAATGGGAGAGATACCTGCTGGGGGGTGCACTGAAAAGAAGTATATCACACAGTGGCCTGCAGCAGGGTTTTGTTTTCAAACAGGCCCTTGCCACGTCACCTAGGCCGAACTTGGACCCCTAGGTGCCCTCCTGCTGCAGCCTCCTGAGTGCTGGGGTTCCAGGTGTGCACCTCCACACCCACACCCAGGTTGCAACCACTGAAATGTCAGAAGTGACCACTGTTTTCCCCGGAATCCTTCCTTACTAAGAAAGGTCAGGCCGAGGATTTAGCTCAGCGCCTCAAGCACCTGCCCGGCAAGTGCAAGGTCGTGAGTTTGATACCCGGTACAAAAAAATAGAAAAGAAAGTGATGTTTTTAAGGAAAAAATAAAATAAAACAGAAACACTAAGTCTCATGGAAGAGAAAATAGGTAGAAGTCTTGAAGACATAGCTGTAGGCAAAAGCTTTATGAACAAAACTCCAGGGTGGGGGGGAACTCCAGTGGAGTGGGAAATGTTAGAAAGCCTTAACAACCTCATCTTATTAAAAAGCTTTTGCACAGCAAAAGAAATCACCAACAGAGTGAAGAGACAATTCAAAGAATGGGAAATAAATATTGATAACTATTCCTCAGACAAAGGACTAATGTTTAGATTTATTTGTCTCTTATAAGAGACATTGGTTTGAAATGGTATCTTGTGTTCAGTTTTCAAAAAAAAATTCTAACTGCTGTGCAGAAGTATAAAATTTGTATGCAGAATTGGGATACCATGCAATGCCAGGTGGAGGTACACCCTGCATGACGCTTCAACCACATTGAACTCGTCTCTCTCCTCAAACATTTACCACTTCTTACGGTCAGTCTTACCCACCCTTCTACACCATTAATTGAAGAGTTTAACTCATTTAAATGTAATGTTAATATCAAAGTAGGATGTGCACTCCTACTTAGGTATTGGCCTTCGGTGTATCTTGTAACTGAGAATTTATTCTCATCTTTCATTATTGCTTTAATTTGAACTTAAGATTTTTGTAGTATACTATTTCGATTTCTTTCTTCGTTTTGCTACATACTTTGCCTTTTAAGTTATAGCTGCAGAAACACGCATTAAAAAACTCCCACATCAAAAACATAATACTAATCCTAGGGATAGTAATACTACCAATAATTTTTAAAAACTTCAATATACAACTAGAAGATCTGCAGAAGAAATGATCATACAAGCTGGTTAAAATTCTTGCAGTAGAAATGTTAGACTTTGTTTCTAGACCCTTAATCCTGCCCCGTTTTTATGTGTGGCAGTTTTATGCCAGTGCCATATGGTTTAGAACAAGGTTGCTTGGTAATAAATTTAGACATGGAGATCTGTAAATTCTCCATATTTAATCATAACTGTCCTTATCATGGGTCATCTGAGTTTTCATAAGAACTTTATCAGGAACCTGAAAATTTGCATGATGAACTAGCTAGGATTGTGAGAGATGGCATTAAATCTATAGATTGAAACTACTACGTTGAATTTTTAGATTTCTCATTTCAAATTTAACCAAGATGCATACCTACTTATAACTGTGATATCATTTCCATGGAATGACCCTTTTATGAGTAATATGCTTTTTAATGATCAAAATGTCGGTTCTTATTTTATTTTTTGTTAATCATGTATTTATTGTATGTCATGCTTCAGAAAGAATAGTGAATAAATATGTAAAAGTGCTTATGCTTTTGAAGCCTGCATTTCAGCTGGGAAGCCAAGTAATACATGTCATGAACAAGCAAGTATTACGTAACTGTAGGGAAAAACGATGAGGCTAGAGGCGATCACTACTATCCCGAAGGTTTGAAGGCAGGTTAGAGAGGCCCGTAACCTGTTTTGGGTTACCAACGTAGGACATGACAAGCCTAACTGACATGTACTGTTAGGATGGAGAATTGGCACTTACTATTTAAAGTACTAGTTCTTACGCAAAAGGAATTCAGACAACAGAAAAGGAAACGAAATTTGAATAACATATGCTTTGGGCACTCTTTTAGATATGTATTAAGCGTTTTATTGAATTGAACTTTATGGCATACTCACAGCTCTGTCTTTGGTGATAATCATGATTAGACTCATTTTGCAATGAATAAATTGAGGTTGAAGGTATTTATTACTGATGACCATCGTTGGATAATGGGGATTAGCTATATAAATTACAATTCTAAGCTTTTACATGATTCTATTCCTATCAAGTGGGTTCTGATACCCATTCCAACATATTTGATAGTTTTTAGAAAAAATCTTTGATACATTTAAATGACTCTCGCTAAAGTAGGTAGAGAATGTAAAACCCAACTTCCATTTAAATTCATTTTAATTAATTAATGATTCCAAACTATTTTTACATTTGTCTGAATATTTTTACCTTTGGAATGAATAGTTATCTTTTTTAACCTCCTGTGTGCTTAAAAGTATTCAATACACGAGCTCCAGTACAGGGGCAGCTGATTTTGAATGATTAATAGTGTATCAAAATTTCAAGGTAGGCGTTCAAGGTTCCGGTTCCTTTTAACAAGAACAAGTTTTTGAAAAAAAGTGTTTTTTAAAGAATTAAATTAGGTCATTGTAAATTTTTGATTAGAGAGACAGTAGATACTATTTTGCTTTTATTAATTAGGCACAGATACAACAGCTCTGTAGGATTCCAGAAAATTTTTGTTGTAATCTGACTTACAAACCTTCTTTCAAATATTGTATAAGTATTCCAGTGCTCTTATATTTCTGTACAGGAACATCTTTTCTTCTCTCTATAGCTTCTTAAAATATTTAAGCAGATTAGCACGCATTAATTTCGCTGTACAATATGAGCAAGTCAATTTCCATGTCACTAAAGGGGAGCCAAGGTAAAAAGCGTAAAGTACGATAACATTGTCATCATACTGATGTCCTTATTAATATGAGAAGCAGCCATTAAATCTATGACATGCCCAGGATTAATAAACAGAGGTGAAAGGATCTTACAAGTTATAAATGTTTGAGAATCAGAGGCTGGGGAGGATAAAGTTCAGTATTTCTTGTCCTTCTATAGACATGGGTATGCATATAATGCTGTGGTATGATTCTGTTAATTCTTTTTTTTTTTTTTTTTTTTTTTTGGTCTTTTTCGTTTTTATCGGTACCAGGGATCGAACTCATGACTGCCTGCAATTCTGTTAATTCTTTCAGGAAGATATCAACAAGAGGAATAGTTTAGTTTCAGGGAACCTCTAGTTTTAGTTTTCTGAGGAATCTTCACACTGATTTCCACAGTGCTTGCACCAGTCTACACCCCCACCAAGAATAGAGAAGGGCTACTTTTCACCCGCACAGCCCTGCATTTGTGATTGGTTTATTTCTTGATCTTGTCTATTCTCTCTGGAGTGAGATGGAATCTCAGTGTTGTTTTCATTTGTAGCTCTCCAATGACTGATGATGTTGAACACTTTTTGGTGTGTTTAATTTTCATCTGTACTTCTTCATCTGAGAAGTGTAGATTCATCTCAGATGCCCATTTTGGGCGACGGTCTTTAAATTGGGGGTGTTTAGTGCTTTTCCAAGAATTTCTTTGCAGAAACAACTCCATACACACTCAGTCACCTTATCTTCCACAGAGAAGCCAAATACCTTTTTTGGAAGAAAGACAGCATCTTTAATAAACAGTCGTGGAAAAACAGTTTTTGCACAGGCCAAAAATGAAAACTAGACCCGTGTCTACCTATACACTCAGTGGAAATCAAGAGCTCAGATATCTAAACCTTCAAAGGGAAACACTGAGTCCCGTGGCGCCCTAGCCCAGAGCGGCCCCCTGGGGGCGCGGTTCGGCCCGGGCGTCGGAGGGGCCGCAGACGGTGCTGGGGAGCCTGCGCGTCGGCGCCTTCATTGGTTTCCCGGTTGGTTCTCGCGCTGGTTGCTGGCTTCTGGTGCCGGCGGGGAGGCGCGGCCTCTCGCCTGAAGGCGGGAAAGAGAACCTGAGCTGCGGCCCAGGTGCGCAGGAGAAGGGGGACAGGAGCGGATGGCCCGGACCGCCAGCAAAGGGATCCGGGAGGCGGGGGAGCCGGGGGGGAGCGGGTCGGAGCCGGGGGGAGCCGGGGGGAGCCGGGGGGAGCCGGGGGGAGCCGGTCGGAGCCGGGGGGAGCCGGGCGGAGCCGGGCGGAGCCGAGGGGAGCCGGGGCGGAGCCGGGGGGAGCCGGGAGAGCCGGGGGGAGCCGAGGGGAGCCGGTCGGAGCCGAGGGGAGCCGGGGCAGAGCCGAGGGGAGCCGGGGCAGAGCCGGGGGGAGCCGAGGGGAGCCGGGGCGGAGCCGGGGGGAGCCAGTCGGAGCCGGGGGGAGCAGGTCGGAGCCGGGGGGGGGGGGGGAGCCGGCGGGATCCGAGGGGAGCCGGGGGGAGCCGGGAGAGCCGGCGGCCTGGCTGGCCGGCCTGTGCGCCTCCAGCCGCCCCTCCTCGGATTGAGGCGCCCTGCGTGCAGGCCTCCCGGGAGGGCGGGATGAGCAGCGGGGAGCACCCGGGCCGGGGAGCTCCAGGCAGGCCCGGCGCCCGTGGCTCCTGGGAGGTCGAACAGGATCCCGAATCTGCGAGTCTGGGGACCCCCGTTGCTGAGGGAACCTCAGCCTAGCCTGGAAGAACTGCCACCGTGGAGGTGCGATTGTTGAAAGGGATGGCCACACATCCTTTGGCCACCATTCAACCCACTGCAATGACAGTGTGACTGGTATAATGAGGGACACTGAGCTGATTCATCAGCACTTCAGGACAGTCAAGAAAGGGTTGGCATAAAAAAATAACAATAAAACTGAAAATAAGTGAGTCCTTGAACTTGAAAGTTTCCTTGGTATTTCTTCTTAATATTTTTCCTAACTACAGTTCGTGTGTGCAACACAAATGTTAGGATCACAACCACTTTTAGATGTGCCAATGTCAGTGGCCAGAGGCTTGCTCCTGTTGCTGGGCTGTCATCACCACCACCCACCTGCAGAGCTGCTTCTCCTATCCTGGGCTGGAACTCCCCACCCAGTGGGCTCCAGCTCCCTTTGCCCCGCCCCCACTTCACCTGTCCCCTTTCTGTCTCTGTGAATTTGGGGGCAGCAGGGAGCTGGTGGGAGTGGAGTCGCACAACATGTGCCATGTGGTGAATGGCGTCTCTCACCTGGCAGCACGTCTCCAAAGCTATTCCTTGTTGTATGTGTATCTGAATTATTTTCCTTTTCAAAGCTAAATAGTGTGATACTGTACATTTTGTGTGATTTTCTTTAAGTCTCTGTGGATGGATGCGCTGCCAGCTTCTCGTCTGGGACTCTTGAGAACTTCTGCTGTGAATATCAGTGTACAGATATCCTTTCGGTATCTGGGTTTGTCCTTTGGTATATGTTCCCAGAAGTGAAATTGCTGGATCTATGGTAATTCTGCTGCTTCCCGTAGCAGCTGCAACTTTTTATATTCTAAGGGAAAGGGTTTTAAGTTCTCCATGTCCTCACCAAACTTTGTTTTGCGTTTTTCTTCTTTTTAAAATAGAGATTACACTAATTTTTTCCTGTTTTGAACGTCATCTGCATTTATGTGTTGTGGTCTCTCATATGAGTCTGAGTTATATTTCCCTAATGTTCACTGATGTGGAGTGTTTCTTACATGAGTGTTGGGCTGTATAACTTCAGAAAAAAGTCCACTCACAGCATTTGCTCAATTCCCAGTTATTAATAAACTGTTGCTGTTGAGTTGTGCAAGCTCTTCATATATCCTGGATACTCGCCATTCTCAGATAATATGACTTGAAGATAGTTTCTTCTATGCTATGGATTGTTGTTTCTTCACTCCACTGATAGCATCTTTTGATGCACAAAGTTTTAAATTTCATTTAATCCAATGTATGTTTCATTCTAATGTTTCTTGTGATTTTGGAATCTTATCCAATTCATTGTAAAGTCTGATATCATGAAGGCTTCCTCCAGTGTTTTATACTGTGAATGTTTTCTACTTGTATCTCTTACATTTAAGCCTCCAATTCACTTTGCGTTAACTTTCTATATAATGAAAGGCAAGGGTCCAACTTCATTTTGGTATAAGGTGGTATGTTATAATTTCTTTTTCACTTTTGCAATTTTTACATTTTTGTTTTTTATTTTTAGATTAAATTGTTTGTTTTTCTTCTGTATAAATTTCTTGTCTTATTCCATTATAATAAGACACTGTGTATGAAATTCACTAAGACTTTTTTTGTGGACTAACATATGGCCTATCTTGGAAAATTTCCATGTGCACTTGAGAAAAGTGTGTTTTGCTATTGCTAGGTAGAGTATTTTGTATGTTTCTGTCAAACACAGTTGACCTATACTGAGACTGAAGTTTTTTATGCTTTATTCATATGCCTGATAATTTCCCTGTTAATTTTCAACAAATATGTTAAAATGAAACAATACTAGTAACCTAGAAATCCTTTTAAACATTTAGAAAAGGTACACTACTTTGATTCCTGACTTATTTCATGTGATAATCATTACCATGCTAACAAAACTAGACAAAGACATTTAAAAAGCTCAATATATTCACCACATTAGCAAACTACAAAAAAAGTGACTGCAATAAAATTTAAAAATAGTGACATTTCTGATCTTATGTAATGGTACCAACCAAAAACAGTTAACATCCACTTAATAAAGACTACAAAGACAACAATACACAATATATTAACTATTATAACTTTCCTACAAACCTGTTTTGACACTGCTTGATTGTTGTCTTTTTTATGTTATTTTTCTTAAATTGTCACATTGGGGCTGGGGATTTAGCTCAGTGGCATAAGCACCTGCCTGGAAAGTCCAAGGTCATGAGTTTGGTCCCCAGTACCCCCCCCCAAAAGAAGTCACATCACAATAAATAAAGACTAAATGTTTCAACCTAAGATCAGAAGTAACTGATTGTCCATTCTCACCTATGTATTTCACATTACACTGCAAGTTTTAGCCAGAAGAATAAATCAAGCAAAATATAATTTAAAAACAGTCATGAGACTGAAACAGAAAGGATAAAACTATCTTTATTCCAAGGCCATCTTGTCTGTTTAGAATAGACAATGTAAATGTTGCAGACTGAAGAATATTTACTGAAGAACCAGTAAATGATTTAGATAGTTGCATAATAAAAGATTAATTTGGGTGGGGAGATTAATTTTTAAACCATACTTGTGTTATTTCACACTAGCAATCAGAAGTCAAAGTAGAAGTCTAAACAACTTTGTCATTTACAAAAGCATTGAAAATATAAATATGCACTATATCATTAATGAATGCCTATGTAGAGCGTCATAAACTTTAGTCATCAATTTGGAAATTCATCATTGCACATGAAATTCCTAGTACTTAAATTGATAGGAAAACATCATAATGTTACCAGGTCTAATGACACATGCCTAGAATTCCAGCACTTTGTGAGACTGAGGCAGGAGTCTGAGACTTGCTTAAGTACACAGTGAATTGGCAGGATTTTGTCTCAAAATAAGACATTAAAAAGCTACTCAGGATGTACCTCCATGCAGACACTAGATTAAATCCCCTATACAGCAAAAAATAATAGTATTAGTGAATTTTTGTAAGGCTATCAAATTACAAACTGTCAACAAGGAGTATTACATTTTAGAGATGGTTTTGGAAATGTAATACTATCAGAATGTCCAAATTTAATCGTAGGGTATCCAGCTGAATAACTGCTTGATATGAGTAAAAAAAAAAAAAAAAAACCATATGTTTGATATCAGAAGATCAAGAGGAAAAGAACTCAAATGGAAAGCAAGTGTAGATATGAGTGATTAAGGGGTGGACTGCAGTGGACTCCTCTTCTGTATAGTATGAATTTCTCAGCCTTGTTGTGTCAGTTCCTACATTAACTACTCTGTGAACATCATTTGGCCCCACTCAGCCTCCATTTGGAGGCTTGCTGGCTCCAAGGCAGAGTGGCACAGAGCAGAGGGCAATCACTCCAGGGGTGGAAGACACCAAAGCAGCAAGAGCAAAAGGAGTGGAGCAAGCCTCTTTCCCTCTCATGTTACATGCAGGATGGCCACCCTAGGGCTGGTGTAGCACTCACACTCCAATTCCAGCACTAGACAATGAACCAAATACAAATTCTAGATTCGGCCCCTTCTGAAATCCTCACACCCCATGACTGCATGAGACTTAGAGGGGATATCCAGGCACAAACCATAACACTAATTTTCTTGCTAAATAAACCAGACGTTTGTATTTACTATGTTATCTTTGTCTTACTGTGGCTCAGTGGTAAAAGTATCACAGTACCTATTTTACAGAAATATTATTGGGTATGAGGATAATGAGGTAACTTGGTCAGTCATATACTTTACAGGTGAGTTTAAATCCAAATGTTTCTGATTAAACCGCAGTATAGTCTGATCAAGGATGAAGCACTCATGATTCAACACAAAAGAACGATCCAATCAAATCATTGTGGACTAGCAGAGGAAACTTGAATGATATGAGAACTCTGGGAATTCAGATATTTTTGTTTACTCCTCAGGGTTTGCTTAAACAGTTTGATAACCTTGAGTAACACATGTACCATACCACCAGTGCTTTTTGATTCCTCACCTGTGAAATTAGGTCTTTGACCTAGATATTCTCTGAGTTTTCACTCTGTCAGGTAAAACTATCCAATAGTTTCTTGAGGACATTGGTGCAGCAAATCGTAAAAGATGCTTACCAGAATTGATCAGAAGAGATTAAAGTGAACTTAATGTATTGGTAAAGCAGTAAAAGTGACTTATAAATGGTTAGCACGCCAAAAAGAAATCTGAAGAAACACTGAAAATCAAGTCAAATTTAGTCAAAATAGTAAAATTAAGAGAAAAATACGCATGACTTTTAGCCATGATGAAGAAAAATGTTAAAAGGAGAATAATAATAAGAAAATGTTTTGCATATATTTTACCAATTAGAATTTATTATTCCTTGTTACTGACAGCCTTGAAATATTTTGTATTTTTAGTCATTTGGGGAAAAATGATATCTTTTTCAACACAACAAGGGAAAAACGTAATTATTCTTCTTTTGGCCTTCGTGTTTTTATGTGATTGAGATTCACTCTCTGTCTCTCCCCTAGGCAGCACTTCTAGATGAGAGTCTGTGCAGATCAGCTGCAGCATGGTGAGTTCCCATACCAGGTGGAGAGGGCAGTGTGGGGTCAGTGTGGCTCATTTTGTTTACCATGCTCCTGGTGGGATTTCCAAGGTCCCTAACCCTTATTTACCATCTGTGGCAAGAGCAGTCAGTCGGCGTGCACGTACTTTTAGAAGGCAAGGATTATCTTATCATCTTTCTAAAGGTGAATTAACATGGTACATTTGATTAGTAAGCTGACTTAGGTTGCAATAAAATAAGAACAAAAATAAATGCTTGTTAATAAATCAGCTATCTTGTATTGCAATCCACTATGCATCGGGGACCATAAAACTTAACACAGAAAAGGAAAAAAAAAAACATTTTTATTAAGTTGCGAAGGGTCTTGCTCAGAGGTCCAGGCTGTTTGCTGAGCTCAGCCTTGATGGTTCAGTCTTTGCAAAGCCAAGCAGTATGGACATTTCCTGAGAGCACTGAAAAGCCATTTGGGTTGAAAGACAAATGACTTTCATTGAGAGTCAGTTGAGTATTTTTTTTTAATTTTAAAGAGAATTTTTAAAACAATAAAAATTATGCAATTTCAAAACAAGATGATAGGAAACAATGGTTATTATATTGGATATTGTTGTCATGAAAATAGTTGCACAGATGACCAGATATAGGCATGCAAAATTGATCAAACAATATAAGCACTAATTTTTCCTGTTTTGTTTATTTTTCCTTTTGTGTGTGAGATTGGATCCCAGGCCTTCCTTGTACCTGCTAGACAAGCACTTTAACAAGGAGATTCAGCCTCAAACCCTTAATTTGCCTTTAGTGATTTTCCAGTCAGTGTCAAAGGAGCTTACCAGATGAGAGGGGATCAGGAAAAGGAGAAGAAAGAGGAGAAAGAAGATAGGAATGTAAAGAAGAAATGAAGAGAGAGAAAGAGATAGAGAAAAGAGAAAGAAAGAGGGAAGACTTAGGAAGTTAGAAAAATCAAACAAAATACCTGCATTCAAATTTTGATTTCTCTAATTTCACGTAAAACTTTAAGCTTGTGACTTAACCCTTTAACCAATTTACTTAACAGATTAGTGAGAAACATTTTAATATGTTGAAGCTCACAGTGCTCGAACATGCATAGCACACACACATGCTTTTGCATACCGTGTGTTAGATACCGAGTGAATGCAACCTGCTTTCTTCATCTGATGAAACAGCAGGCACCTCACACAGAAATCAGGAAATTGGTCCCACAGAGATGTTTTAAGAACAGAGCTCTGCTGGTCACTGGCTGAGCAGGGCTCTGTGCAACCTGGACCACCTGAGCTCATCCCCCAGTTGCTGGGCCTTTTGCACCAAGTATTCCTGCTGGTCTCTCCTGCTTGGAGCTTTCTGCTTGCATGGCTGAGCATTCAGCCGGGGAAGACGACTGTCCCCTCAGGCTCTGCTTCTTCTCATTTAATCACATTACATCACCCCTCCTTGGCTACAAACCCTGGCAGCGCTGGCCCTGCACATTCCTCTCCCTTGTCCTCTCTGCCATCACCAGATGCCTGCAGCTATTATTTAAAATTCTGATTCTCATTCTAATACAGAAAACACACTGTCAGCTTTTTATATGCAGTGCATGGGGTCATGAAGAAGTAAAACAACTCTACATCTGACGAATGTCTACTGACGTCTAGACCAAGATAAATAAAGTCTACCTTTATCTGACTGTCATCACAGACTAATAGGTGAGAAACAAACATGGTACAGGTATAATTAGATCCAAGCACAGAAAGCAACAAGCAGACAACGGACATTGTGAGTTATGAAGAGATAATTATTAATGCTAAGAGAACCAGAGAAGACTTTCCCAGCAGGTAATAAGCCATGCTAGGGTCCAGTGAGGACAACAATTCTTGTGTGTGTGTGTGTGTGCGCGCGCGCGCGTGTGTGTGTGTGTGTGTGCCATCAAGTTGAAGGAAAAAACAAAAGTCCACCTCGCAACATAAGAGGAAAATGAGACGCAAAATGCTGAGACAGGTGAGAGCCGGGTTAGAATATGCCCGACACATAACTGACCCAGGATATCCATAGACGGGAAAATCCAGACCTCGGTGAAATTTGAAGTGTTTGACATCCAAATGTGTCAGGCTTGGCTGGGCTTGAGGCTCCACAGTGGAGGGCTTCCCAAAAATGCAGAAAGCCCTGGATTTGATCCCAGCACAGCAAAAAAGAAAAATGAACTGTCAAGTTGAGCGTTGTGCTCCTAAGTTCCTACTAACATGAAAACCTCTATTCATCAAGTAACCTCTGTGCTTACTGCTTTGCATGTAAACACCCTGCATTGTTTACCAAGACGTGATCACCTGACTTTACTGCTGAGGAAAGGAAAGAATAAAGAATTAAAACAAAACTGACCATAAGGCTCTGCTTACTCGGGTGATACTGGGCTTGCTCTACTGCCCTGGTCCAGTGATCTCGCCACCACAGGCAACAGTGGCTGCCTCACTGTTAGTAACCAGAAAAGGGACATCAGCTGCTGCCTGTGTCGTCCAGTAGTGGCAGCAAAGACATTATTTCAGCCCCCTCAGGTTAAAGACATAAATGAATACTGTGATTTATGTTCAGGGATGACTGTGCTGCCTGGAACATCTGGCTGGACAGGAGCCCTAAGATTTATCTAGCAAACACATCAAGAAAGTTAATGATGATACCAAAAAGAACTTAAGAACAGAACCCAAAATAAGTCAATAAAGTTGATTTAGAAACCAGTAAGAGTGGTTAATGAATAAGTTAATCTGTCTAGATAACTACTGAATATTTATCAAGGGCCCACATCTCTAGGAGCACAGGTAAAACTCTAATTGTGAGTCATACTTGTAGAGTGAGAGTATATCTACAAAATCAAAATTAATATGCTGTTTTCCATAGAGTTTTGACATTCATCCAAAGGGGGAAAGTAAAAGACAGTTTTAAATTCAGAACTACTGGTCTGTCAAAAATTATTCCAAAAGTCTTTCATATCCAACAAAGGAAAGTGTGTGTTATCTTGAATGCTGTGACATTTATTTAAGGGCAGTGGTCCTACCTGATGAGTAACACAAAGGGTGAAGCAGAGGAAAAGTCACACTCTCATCTTCAGCAAATCACCAGCAGCTCATTGCTTAGGATAAGATGAAGTTGTTGACGTCAGCAATGAGCGCATCTTCTGCAGAAATCACCAAATTGTATTCACTGTGGACTTAAAGCCATGATTTGGGGATTGAATCTTAACTGTACCATTCCTTATTAGGGGTTGCGTCTGGGCAGGTCAATTAAATGCTGGATTTCTCATGGAGAAAATCGAGATCATAACCCTGATCTCTAAAAGTTTTGTGAGGTATAAGTGAGTTAATAGAGTCAAGTACTTTACAAAGCATTATAGAAGGAAAAATTCTGATTCTTTTCCTGTTTGGTACTCAGAGTCAGTTCTACTCCACTCAGCGTGGACCTGCTGGATATCTAATTTTCCAGAGTCCCATTTGAGGAGGTCAAGGAGCATATTTGTTGAGTAGCTACCTTGGTGGAGCCACACACATGACCCCTGTCAATCTTATATCCACATCACGTCAGTACCGTACACGTTCTTCATCAGCAACTCGAAGGCATCAAGAATAACCAAACTTACACGAAAAGTCAGAGGTAAGATGCAAATCCTTGTGAATGTGATAGCAAAGACCAACCCATTCTGTTGCTGCACCTGCATTTCCTCCATCTCAGAGCTCCTGAGACTCACATGGAATCTGACATATGCTGAAATTGAGCTTCCAAATGTGACCAAGGTAACTGGTGATTCTCTGGTCTTTCCATCTGCCGTTTCCGTCCATTGCACTTCTCAGTGGCTCCTTATTTGTCAAGCTTCTGCAGGTTTAACTTCCAAAACTTATAAAGCAGCTTATTCTAATTTGTCATGTGATAAACAAGTCAACTTGGAAGAGTAAATATAAGAGCAGAGATAACTGCTCATAAATTCAGAGAGCCATTGACAGCAATGGGTTTTTCAGAAGGAACTGTGAGAGCTGTGAAACATTCCCAAAGGTCAATGTGATTCTATGGGTGATATTTAAAAGAAAATTCAAGGCCTTTATCTTCAGCCTAGAAAGTGTTTTTTGAAATGTTCATCCATAGCTGTTTCTATTCTATGAGCCTCATGGGTAAACCTTAGTGAGAAATCACCTGAGACTTCCACTAGATCTCTTGGCTTTTAGCTTCTCCTCCATTCTTCTCACCCCTACTCTGAATCCACTGCTTCTTGGAGATCATTTGATAGCACTGACCTAATCATGTCTTTCTTTTCTTTTCTAACTTTTTGGCTTTGTGTGCTATGATGAAGAACCTGAGGTAATCAACTTATGGGAAGTAAAGGTTTTCCTTTGGCTCATGGTATGCAGGGTTTAGTCCATGCTTGCTTGACTCTGTGGTTTTACTGTTGTTTGCTGTGCATCCAGGTAAGAGCACATGTTTGAGGAGGGCTTTTCAGCACACAGCAGATGGACAACAGAGAGACACACAGCAAGTGTCCAGGTCTAATATCCGCTTTAAAGTCACACCCCAACCACCTGACTTCCCTCTTCTACACCTTGCACCCTAAAGGTTCTACACCTCCCCTGAGTCTTGCAGAGCTGGCAAGTGAGCTTTCAGCATGTGGGCTTGGGGACCTTCAAGTTCCAAACTACAGCAACTTCCAACCACTTATTATTGTTGATAATAAGTTTTAAGGTTTTTCCGAGTCTGGTCTGAATCTTTCTTTTCAGTTCCTTGTCTACCATAGTTCTTCTATACACTTTTTCCCTTCTTTGAAATCTTTGTACATACCCACTAGAGTTCCCGTGATAACCTTTCTCCTTCAAAGAAGACTTCTCTTGAACCACAGATCCAAGTCCATCCACAGCAGTTAATCTTATTAAATGTTTGTTCATTTTTATGCTTCCTCATCCTAATACATTGTGAATTGCCTAAGTGTAGATGCCAGTAAATTAAAATTATTTTTCCCAGGCTGGGGATTTAGCTCAGCGGCATAAGTGCCTGCCTTGCAAGCAGGCAGTCGTGAATTCGATCCCCGGTACTGATAACAAAGGAAAAAGACCAAAAAAAAAAATCTATTTTTCCCAGTCTCTATTAGAATTTAGAAATGTAGGAGCTAAGCATATTCTTCATGTCAAACTAGTGAATTTATTTCTCATCTCTGTGGAATCTGTAGAAACTCATTTAGGGCATCTGTTTTTCTGTTAGGCAATTTGTTAGAGAAATTCCTAAGGAGATGTCAGAGGCAAGACGTTTGCTTACATGCCAGGAAAAGTGACCAGTATTTCAATGATTATCCAAAATTTTAATTTACACCAGACAGGGTTAGAATGCTATTAAATAGAAATAAAGAACATATCTACTGAGTACCAACAGCAGAAGTAATAAAGGAGACACCATTTAAGCTCAAACTGACAGGCTCAGGATTGAACCTCTGATAGGAAGTGTGCTCATTCGAGGAGCTAAAGAGGATTTAAACAAGAACACGACACGCTGAGGAACATACATAGATGCAACCAGGTAGTCCGCAGAAGGAGAACCAAGACTTTCCCAGACAGATGTCAGGACACACAGACTATGTTGTGTTCCTTCAATCTCCAGACCTTTCCTCCTGAGTAAACCGCCTCTGCCCCTCCCTGCTCTGTTCAGCTCCACAGCTCTTGGAAGAGTTCACGCAGACTCCTGGTTCAGAAGCTCAGGTTCTGTCTGCTCAGATGTCCACCTGGCCAGTGCCCACCGAGTCCTTAGTGTCACCATGAGTATGACAATGAACATCTTCAGAATAAGGTCTCATCTCTACCAGGTCCATGACCTTTTTGATTAAAGTGCATTAATACATTCCCCAACTATCCTGAAATGCAGCAGAATTGCATGCATATTTTAACATAATAACAGCCATAACATAATAAAGAAGTTAAAAGAAATGTAAAATGAGCTTCTGCACATGCATACAATCACAAAATTGATGCCCTGGCACAGCTCTCTAAAACCTCTGACAAAGTGCTGGTCAGATTATTTCTACTTTTGTTGAATTACTGTAAGATGACATTGGCATAGGTTAAATCTCAGAAACCAGTAATTTATCAGCAAATTCAGGGGCCAACATGCCCTGCACATCAATGAGAGGAGTTCAATGAGAGAAGATTCCATCACTTTCAAACCTAAGGGTCGACATTCACATGTGTAATTAACATTGCAAAAGCATTCTTCACCTTTACAGAGAGACAATCAGGTTTTATGCTCAGAGTGTTTTGTAGGTATCTAAAGGTCCAGTGAAAGACTGTCAAGCTGTGAGGGACACAGAACATTTCTGGTGGGGCCACACTGTCACACAGATTACAAGATGTTCTCTAGAAACTACCTCCTGCTAAGTAAGAGCTTCCCAGCCTTTGAGTTTTTGGGTTTTTTAATATCAAGTGTTAGCAAAATGCATTGATTTTTATTAGAAATAATTGTCCTAGAGGCTTGCTCCAATCCTGATTGTGACCTTGATGGATAGATATCTGGACACAGAGACCTGTGCCTCTGGAGAACATTAGGTTGAACTCAGTGTTTTTAGGTTCCTCCTTATGAATATAGGTATACGTATTTATCCTTCTTACAGCAAGGACCAGTATTGTCTGTGTGTTTCTAGAATTTCATGCATATGAAATATGCCATAGTTGCCCATGACTTTCTTTTCCTTAACATACTGTTTTTAACATTAATTTCTATTACTGTTCATATAGGTAATTTGCTTGAGTATTGCTGTGTAGTATTTTGCTGAAAGTATATAGCACAAGTATTCTTTCTTCCAGAGAAACATGTTTAATTGAATTGTTTCTAGCTTTGCCAACTGTGAATAAAACTGCTAAGAACATAGACACACCAGGTTCTCAGTGGAGAATAGAAATTCTTGGCCACAGGATCCAGTTTAACTCTACCCAAAGCTGCGCACTGACTTCCAAAGCGGCTGTGTAGTCTGCACCCACGTGTGTTTCCAGTGCTTAGCAGTCTGCCAAAACCAACAGTGACCATCTTATTAACAGACTTGATTAACTTTAGCCCCTCCAGTTGGTACACCATGGGACTTCAGGATAACATTCATTTATGTTATCCATGGCCAATGCTGAACACTTTCACAGGTGCTCCCCACTCGTAATCTTCTGGGAAATGTCCACTGGGGTTCATTTGTCCGTCCACTCTCTGGACTGCCTTGTCTTTTTACGAGTTGTACAAATCTTTTGACATTCTGGACAAAGTTCACATGTTTTGTTCAGCTACCTATGTTTGAATATTTTCCCCAGTCTGTGGTTACCTATTTATTACTTATTCAGTTTGATGAATGAACAAAGTTTTATTAGTGAAATTCATGTTGTTATTTCTTCCATATACCTGTCCAGGTTTACAGTGCTACAGAGTGAGTCGATTTCTTCACTGATAGTGTGATTGGTCACATGGCTCCTTAAAAAATGTACAATGTAAGTGTAAGTCCCTTTCTGGGCCCCTCTTTGTTCCATGATCTAATTGGCTGTATTGATTGCTGCATCTTCATAATAAATTCTGGAACTCATGTGGTGTAAAATCTTTAGCTTTGTTATTCCCTTGCGAAAGTGTGTGCTTCTAGATCATTTACATTTGCACATAGATAGTAAAATCAGGACAGCAATTACTAACAATAACTCAGCAGAGATTTTGAATGGACTCCAGTGAGTATATCATTGCTCAGTGGATACTGCAGTGTTAACAGTTTTGTTTCTGTTAATTCATAAGCCTGATATCGTTCTTTTCCTGTGTTCCTTGGTCAACTTCAAATTATTTCAGCAACGATTTACACATTTTAGGCTTTAGATGTTACTGTGTATCTTTCACCTTATTCCTAAGTATCGTACATATTTAATGTTGCTGCAAAAAAAGAATATTTTTAAATTCATTTCTAGTACTTTTCTGCTAGTTTTTATATATTAATCAATATTTTGCTACTTTCAAAACAGTTTGGTTAAAATTGATACTCTTTAGTTATTCATTATTTACTAGAAGCTTTCATGGACCCTATTTGGGCCCTGTATTCCTCCTGGGGATTTTCAAATTACAAATCTGCTTTCTGTAATAAACATAGACATAACAAATTTTCCACATATTGTGTCAGTTTGGAACATTTGATTTTTTTTCTAATTTTTTCACTGTGTTCATTGTCTGCTATCATTTTACCTTTTACTTGCAAATATAATATAAAGCACAAACCACAATGCAAGCACCTTGCTGTCAATGGTCATTGGCTTTCTAAGAAATCCAGTTAGAAAGAGCTGTGCTTTCACTGTTAACCACACAGCAGTGGTTCTCACTCCTCCCCATTTCTTTCTTTCCACGAATCCCAGATTTTGGCTGGCACAGTATTTCTTCAGACTTTCAAAATTCCCTTTAGCATTGCTCATAGTATAATTCTGCTAACGACAGATTCTTTTTGGCATTTGCTCTGTTTCACTCTCATTTTAAGCATATTCATTTACTTTACTTACTTGACACAGGACTGCGGGTTGTTTGTGGTTGCTGGCTCGCTGCCCTTGTAATGCCATCAGTGTGTCGGTTCATGTCTTCTACTTTTTTGTGGCTCTAGTAAGAAGTTCACTGTGAACTCTCCCTCATTTCCCCAATCTTACATTACACAGTGTCCCTCCCTTCTTTTAAATCTGATTCCATTGAAATGCCCTCTTGACTGCTGGCTTTCAGCAGCTTGGTTCTGGGCATGCTCTCCTTTGCTGGGCTCTCTTCCTTCTGCCTGAGGTTCCTTGGGACTTGTGGATACGGAGGCCAAAAATTTCCAGTGACTTTGAGATGGCAGTGCCCAGTATTGAATACTATGCATCCTACCCAATCCCCTCTTTTTTTTTCTCCTATGAGATGTTTCCTGACTCAGTAGGGCTATTTGCTTTTGAAATGTTTTTCTCTGTACGTTTTCTAATTTGAATATGTTTAAACATTTTCAGTTCCACTGATAACCTAAGCTATTAAACTCAAAGAGTTCATGCTTCATTTTAGACATCTTATTAACTTCTCTAATTTTAATTTAATTCTTGTCCAGTTGTTATTTCACCATTAAGCTTTCTTATTTACCCCTACATTAAATTAATTCAATTTTCTTCAACTTCCAGGTGGAACAGATCTCATTTCTTAAGGACTTCTCAAAATGGTCCAGCCTGGGGCCAGGACCCACTTTAGTATGCTCTACAGTGGAAAAGGTAAATTTCCAAAAGGTAAATACATTGCACCATAAGAATGGACTAGCTCATTTGTATTCTGCTACTGAAGCATTCTAGTGCTGTGTGTTGGATACTAACCTAACTATCTGGAAGGCTGACAGTGAGTTCCACTGAACTTCTGAACAAAGTACGATAGAGTTGCCAAACTAAGACAAATAGAATACAGAGAATGCTGGTGACAGTCCCGAAACTTTCAGCCTGACAAGAACAACATGTCTTCACCCACCATTACAGCAGGCGAAAGTCTGGAATCAGTGTGTGGATAGGACCATGCTCCCTCAGAAGCCCTAGAGGAAACATTCCTTGTCTCTTCCAGCCTCACGTGGCAGCTGGTGTTTCTTCCCGTGTCACCACATCTCCCTCAGCTGTCTTCAGCCGTCATGGAGCCTGCTCTTCTTGTGTCTGGAGCTGAATCTGCTCCGCTTCTCTACTGAGGACCCATGGGAGGGAATCTGGAGCCTATGCAGACAACCCAGGATAAGGTTTTCCCCTCAGACTCCTTCATCTAATCCCACCACTTGCCATGGAAGGCAGTGCTCCCAGGTTCTGGTTCTGAAGAAGGGGACACATTCCTTTGGCCACCATTCAGCCCACTGGCAATGACAGTGTGACAGCTATAATAAGGGACACTGAGCTGATTCTTCAGGACAGTCAAGAAAGGGTTGGCATAAAAAAAATAACAACAAAACTGAAAATAAGTGAGTCCTAACGCCCATGAAATTGACAGGGTATCCCAGGTATAGAAGGCTCCATAACAATCAAGAGAATTCAGAACCTATTCAGGGTGAGACCAAATTCTAGAGTGTAAGACATCTGAGAAAGAATTTTGATACAAATGATCCACAGAGAGCAGGTAAACAGAGAGTCTTAGAAATAATCACTTGTATGTTTATCTTAATATATATTAAGCTATTTAAGAGAATAGAAAAAAATTTGCCCCATAATGTCATGATCAGAGGGTCTAAAGGAGAGTTCTCTGCCAGTTTCTACAAAGCTGAAATGTGGCCGTCAATTTGTCTACTAGTTAAACCATGCAGAGGATTAGTTTTTCTTTTAAACATCATAGCCAAAATCCTCATTAAGATATTAAGCATATGAAATTCTTCATAATGCTATCAAAGGTGGCATTTAATTTAATAATTAGGTAGACTGAATAGATTATTTGCAATGGTGAGAATCTCGAATATTTCAGCCACTGTAGCTCCTAATGCTATAATACATATAAATAAGGGAAAATTATTTGAGCATTGAGAAACATGTGTTTGAATTTTCATTTGGTATCAATTCTAAAAGTAAAGGAAAAATGCTTCTGCAAGCATAAGATTAAATTTAGTTGAGTGTTTTGTAAGCATTGTTTTCTTAAATAAAAAAAGTAAAATTATGCCCAGATTTCCTCTGCTTCTATTTCTTTCCATATTGGTGAAATCCTCTGCACAGATGTGTATACACTGAACATGAAGTTTTGCTTTCAAATTCATGTGGAGTGTCACAAGACATTTACCAAGTTCCTGTAATGTTTTAGGATAATCTTCACCTTGGCTACTGTAGTCAGCAATGTTTTGGAACTGTCTTCTTCATATTCCCTTTTCTGTTTTAGCAATATGTTAATTTAAAATTGTACCAAGAACTATGATTTCCCAAGAAACTATGTGAACTTTTAGAACCTGAGAACAAGGAGCTATAGAAATTTATTTTGTAAATCAACACAAGGTTGCTATTGTTCTTGTCTACAACAACATTAGTTTAACATTATGCTTTCATGTGATTTTTTTTGAGAAAACATATGGCTCTCCACTGAAAATGGAAGCTTTGTTATGATGGGAAATCGCATGCCCCTTTCTAGAATTTAGCAAAGGCAATTGACTTCTAGGTTTCTTTTAGTTGGGAAGTCATTACAGGCCACTTCACCAATCTCCTTTTGAATGTCAGATTTTAGGAAATTAATCAACACTTAGTGCTTGAAAAGTGAAGAGCTAAGTGACAATCAAAGCATTATCTGTACACTATAATCACTTAATAATACTCAAAACCCATCCTAAATGCATTTTGACTATTTCAGAGGGTTTGGGAACTTTGAAGGATAGAGGCACATATTAAATGTGACCACGAGGATAACTGATTTGCATCATTCTCTTCCAGTCAACACCATGAAAAATTACAGATAAATGCATGGGTAGGTAAGATATTTAACAGCAGCATCTTTAAATAAGCCCGGATTCCTTCTTGCTTCTAGTGAAGACATGTGGATATAAAATTTGATAGCAGGTTGAATATTTGACATTCACAAAGACTGACATAATGATTCTGATTTTTGTCTATTGTGATAATGGCATTGTAGTTATGTGAGGCAATGTTTGTTACACAATTGTAATGTATATAGTGTGACTTAATCTTTTAGTAATAACAAGTAAAAAGGAAATACAAGAATATGCCAGAATACTAACATCAGTAAAGTTAAGTTATGACTTGATAGGAGTCCAGTATACCATTGTTTTTATATATGTTTGCAAATTTTATGGTACTCTTCAAAATATTCATAAGTGCTAAAACAGAGTAAACGATCACTTAGAATTCTTGCAAGTTCATGGTAAAACATGGACAGAGTGTGCCACAGAACAGCAACAGGGAGAATTAACTCATCCATTCCTGCCCAATCAAAATTAGTTTAGAATTGCATTTTCACTAGTGTTAAAGAGTTGGGGAAAATTGTGGGCTGGTGATTTAGCTCAGCAGCATAAGCACCTGCCTGACAAGTTTGAGGTCATGAGTTTGATCCCCAGTACCCCCGTAGGAAAAGAGCTGAGGGAAAACTGTGTCTGTCTGTGCAACTGGGAGGACAAAGCTAGCATGAGTAGGCAGGGGTCCTGTGACTCAGCCCACACTTCCTCAGTATCTACTTTTATCAAATATGTGAAATGTGCAGTTGGAATAGCACAGTCTGAGGAAGAATCAAGATCCATTACACACAGGTGCAAGTTTTCTATGATGAATGTGACCATTATGTGTAACAAAAGCTTACCAGTAAAATTAATTTTTTAAAATTAGTTCTATCTAGGTTTATTTATGTTCAGATTTTTCTGACAGACCTTCTGAAGAATAAAATTTTAGTTTTTCTATGTGATGAGCTAGCAGTCAAAAATTCATTATCTAAACTAGAAAACAAAATATCCAAAGCACAAAGCCCCAGCCAAGTACCACAAAGTACTGATAATTCATTTAAAGTAAAGATTGCTATCTTCAAACTCAGTTGACAGCACAACACTTGCTATGTAATTGTTCTCTCAGTAGGTTGTACCATTCTCAGCTCCAGCCTCCGGCAAGGTGTGTATCCCAAAGCGCAAGGCCTTCCAGCCCCATCTTACCACATTATTGACAAAAGCAGCAAGGGAGCTCCCAAGAGCCTCCTCTGACACGCGGTACAGTCACGCCACACTGATCTGAGACTTGGAAAACGTGAAGACATCAGAGCCAGTGTGTGATCAATAATAATCACAGAAAGGCTTTTCTAAACAAGACCAGGCAGAGGGAGTTACATCCTCCAGCAGAAGAAACGGTAAGTACTCATGCTCTGTGGTATTATTTTGAAGATCAAAACTCATGAAATAATAGGTTGCCTCTTTCCATTTATTTGTTCTTTATTCCTCATACTGTGCCACCCAGCTGTGCAGTGGTGCCTTCCTGAGTTTCCACTCTGTGTGAAACACCCTTTCCTTCACTGTTTCCTCACATTGCTGCTTAGACTGAAAACTGCCACAGTGAGCATAATACATAATGCATCGTTATGTCACCACCCTTACCACCATGACAGCCACCGCCGACCTTCCACCCTCCTGCTGTAGATGTTATAGATGTTGATAGACACGCAATTGACTTTTATAACATCCTATGTGCAGGCCTTAGCAGCTCCATTTCACATCACATTAAACTGAATTTCGGCAAACTTAGTAAGCTGGCCAAGGTCACGTCATTAGTAAGGATCAGGCTCAGAGGTTGCATGCAGGGTAACTGGCTCCACCTCCATCTGTGCCCATCTGCCCAGGTGTCACCCCTTGCCATGCCGTTTATAGTGCACAGCACTGTGGTGGAAAGAAATGGATGCAGACAGGCCCAAAAATGTGCAATCAACACCACAACAATTTCAATGGATTGCTAGACAGGGCTATGGCGTGAGAAGCTCTGGGAAAAGATGCCCACCCTGTAGTATGGTGATTGAGGTGGCATCCTTTCACCTCACCACGGATGCTCAGTCAGGTGGTTTTTGCTCATAAAATTCAGGGACAGTCTGGGTTTTCAGCAGGAAAGGAATGGGATGACTATCAGGAAAGTGGTTACGACTGAGAACAGACAGACATCAGAATTCCTACTGGCAAGAGAATTGAGTGGGCAGGGATTTAGAATGGACTCCCAAAGAAGAAGCAAACCGTGTGGGGTAGGGGGACCCACCTGACCGGAAGTTAGGCAGCTGTGGCTGAAGAGGGCACAGCTGTGACCATCTGGTAGAAGGTTTCATGAAAGTGGCCCAGACAACAGACCGGAAGCAGGAAAACGGCACAAGGTGGCCGATGGCACTCACTGGCCACTTGTGCAGACCATGTGAAGCTGTCATCAGGGATAACAGGAACAAGATGGAGGCGGCCGCCAGAACCAGGAGGAAAAGCACTCCCCTACTTCGGTGTCCCTCCAGCGCCCTCTACTGACAGGACCTAGTATAAAGCAAGGTCACCATGGTTCCCTCACCCCCAAGGATGCTCCTAGAAGTGCTTTGTGACATCATTTCCTCGCTGTGCAGACGTCACAGAAGGCCTTAGGGACAGGCCTGGGCTGTGTGGCAGAGGTGCTGTGCCTGGGCTACAAACCTAGTGCTTTGTTACCATCCCGAGCCTGCAGGCAGCTGTGGCACAAAGGCATGTGTGTCTTAGAACATGTCTAAGCACCGGAAAGTGTAGCGAGGATGCAGAATCCAGGAAGCCATGAGGAGGTCCTGTGGGGCACCCAGGAAGCATGGAGCTCCCGGGACTGCAGGCAACTCTGAGCGAGCGCTGCCCGAGGGTCAAGGCCCAGAGCACCGCTGCTCCCTCCCATGGATTTCTGGACACAACCTGAAAGCTGCACTAAATCTGTACTTAAAACTCATTCTTGAGTAATAAATTAAACCTAACTTAAGGTGACTTTTTAGGTTTATGAACTAATATGTATGTATAGTTTTCTTATTCTAGTAAGTTATACAAAACATTTTCTTCTTTATACCCTTATTCTATAAGCTTTTGTCTACTTTTAAAATTTATTTTTTTAACTTTTTGTTTAAAAAAATACATATTGGCCCGGGCCAGTGACAGCCAGCCTTTCAGAGCAGGCAAGGCTGCAGCACAGGTGTCTTAGTTCCCAACCACAGGGCTGGGCCTTCCCAGGGTGAGAACCAGCCCTGACACCACCACAGCTCTCTGTCTTGGCCCAGGAAGGGGTGCAGGGGCAGTGACACCCTGTGCTGTCCTCCCCTGTGCCCACAGGAGCCTCAGTAGGAGACTGTCAAAGCTGTGTCCTTTCTCTCTACTTGCCACACCTCTCCTACCTATCACCACTCACAAAGTAAAGGTCATGGGCATGGATCAGGAAATAGGTGAATGGGGAAGATCCTATTTTCTTCAGCAGAGAATAGAGGAGTCTAGCAGCAATTAACAACCTTTGTTTCTCTTAGGTGAGGAGTGGGGGGAGGAGTCTTGCAGGAATTTACAATTCTTTCTTTAAAGAGGAGAGCATTGATTAACAGGGAGGATGGGGGAAAGGGGAAGGGAAACATATATACAGTATGGACATGTTACAGGTATTTTGGTGTAATACAAATATAATAAAGTTCTTTTTTTCTAGAGTACAACACCAACATTCCGTTCTGATTGGCCACTGCCCTGTCAAGGCACTTGGGAACTGCTTGGCATATTATTCTGGCAAGTTTTATCTCTGAATTCCCTGGCACAGTGTAGCCAGAACATATCACATTTGCAGATGTTTCCTTTGATCTTCCTGCAGGGCTGAGTTAGGACTGAGTCATGAGGCCCAGTTCTGTGTTTAGCTGAGAAACAGTATCTTGTTTTTAACTCTTAACTCTCTGGTCTTTGAAGCCCTCAGGTTAAGTGTGGTTATGAGACAGATTTTGGGTGCACTTTATGTAAGTGGCTTATGCATACAAACTACTCTATTTCTTACTGTTTTCACTCAGCACAATACGTTTGTGATTCTTCTCTGTTACCCTGTGAACATCTAATCTAGTTCCTGGAGCTCTTGGGGAGCAGATGTTGCTTGATTTCCTTATCAGATGCCTCCAAACTGGCCAAGTGCAGCTTCTTCATAGTGACTTGGGGATGATGCTTGTGGAGTTCTCCCATGCTTACTCAAAATCAGAGTCCTTGGTGATGGGAGTCCTGTTACTCTAAATACATAAGAGATTATAGTCTCCTCCCACCACTAGGGGATGCCAAAGGTGGGCCAGTGGGGTAACAGCCCATCTCTGACCTTGGGCGTTCACCCCCTTGTAAATGAGCTAAGGTCAACTGCTCCTGAAATACATTTGTCCAGGTTCTTCTGCCCTGTCATGCTTCCCTCATTTCCCCCAGCTTTCTCCTGAGATCACTCAGATAATACAAGCTTTATGCACAAAAGTACAGTGAATGTTGAAATTTTTAAAAATCACTACACTAGAAGATACATTGCTATGAAACTCCCTTGAAATTCTCCCCTTCATCTTGGACCTCATCTTTCTTGCTACTTTCTAAGCAGCTCTGGAGTCCTCTTTCCCAAGTGTCTTTGGTTTTGCTACTGAGGCAGCCTTGATGTCCTCAACTGACTCAGAATGTTTAATTCTCTGGGTCATTTTGAATTGGGGAAGACCCAGAAATCCCACGATGCCAGATCTGAAGAATAAAGTAAATGAGGACACATAGGAAATACTTTTGACACCAGTTGTCCTCAACATGTGAACTGGTTCAGGACACCAATACAGCCAGGAAGAGACACTCCAGAAAGAAGACTTCAAGAACTGCTTCAGAAGGTGGTAGAAGAATGGCATAAGTGTATTTGGAGCAAGAGTGAATTGAATATCTCACAGGGGATCAGTGGCAATGTGTCTTTTGCTATAAAAATATTTTTATTTTTAACTCAAATATTCACCAGAGTTTCTGAACACCCCTCTTCGGTCACTGAAAAAATTTCAACATCTCTGGGTTACTTAGTTTACACAGATCAGTTAAGACGGTTCTCTGCCCTGGGTATGTGCTACATTTAATCTGTCAATCCAGACTCTAGCACAAAACATCTGTCAAATCAGCTGGCTTGGAAACCTGTCTGGAATTTGTTTGGTTTATAAATTGCTGAAGTTCTACCAACTGGTCCTTGTGTGTTCTGAGTGTTCCTCTCTCTGCGTTTCCACTCCAGGAAGTTTAAAACCCTTCCAGTTATTGTCACAAGTTCTGTTTTAAAAATGGTTCCTCATCTGCCATTAAAATCAGCAACAGTCAACAGTCCCACGCTCCGACCCATTCATTCAGCTGCCAAATGCACTGTTCTTATTTAATCCATCTCTGACCCTGTGGTGTGTGGATCTGAATAACAGAATTTTTGTTGTTGTTACTTTATGCCAGCCTGGCTCCATCCTAATGTGAATTCCTCTATCTCTTACTTTGCTTTCAACAAATGGGTCCTTAACTCCCAAAATGGCAGAGGAAATACGTATAAATGATGTTCAGATTTTCTTTCATTTAAATGACATTTTTCAAAGGTTCCAGTTCAGCTGGCATTTATTATATGCCTACTGGGTTCTGCATAGTGTACAGGGCCAAGTCAAGGACATGAAGTTTAAATACACATTTTACACAATTTGAATACTGATTGACCAGTATTTGAAGTGCTCCTTGAAAACCTGTCTCGTGATCCGTTCTCTGTAGTAAGCTGGGTGGTTAGTTCCATGTGGACAGCTGCCCTCTGGTGGGACAAAGTGTGACCACTGTGCCCCAGCACAACTCATGGATCCGCAGTCCTGCTGCTCCTTCAGGGGCCAGAGCCAGATTAGAATCTTGGGAGGAAAATGAACATCATGCAGTGACGACGCTTCTGGGATCCTTTACGCCTCTTCCCTTGGCATCTTTGCTCTACTCCAACGTGGACTTTGATAAATTCTAACTGTTCAGTAAAAGAATCATGGGGATCAGCGATGCATAACTGAGTTACTCACAGTGGCCCAGACTCTGCTAAACACTGAATGAGCACTCAGAGTTCTCCATGCAGCCGTACTTCTCCCTCATTGCCCGATTAGCTCATTTCAGAATCCTGGCCAAGATGAGATGGAGGGGGTATTATTATTATTATTATTATTATTATTATTATTATTAATCCAGACTCTGTCTGGATCTCAGCTTTTCATTTCCATTCTCTTCATCTAGCCTTGAGTTTCATTACTGTTGTCTTACTTTTCTTATTGCTTGGCCAAAGTACTTGCCACCCTAAATTAAAGGGGGATAGGTTTATTTTGGGCTGCAGTTTGCAGAGGTTTCAGTCCATCCTCAGTTGGTTCTAAGGCAGGTGGTGTAGCGGGAGCCATCACAGAGGAGAACAGTCCATGGTACAACAAGCAGAGGCAGCAGCTCAGCTACATTCTTCCTTCCTTCTATTCCTTTTATCCCATTCAGGTCTCAAACTGTTGAGTGGCACCCCCACACCCAGGAGTACCTTCTGTTATTAATACCCAAAACTATGCTAAACCAACCAGGGGAATAAACTTAGTCCTCACACTCTTGATCCCAGTAGCACACACCCATGATCCAGCCATCTCCCAAAAGCCCCACCTGTGAGCTCATGAGGTTTGGGAGGACATCTAGGTACAAGTCATAGCTCTGGTGCTGTTTATCTTACTCTGCTTTGTGAGGTCATAACAGAATTCCACAGACCAGGATACTTATGAGGATAAGAAATCCATTCCTCACACTTTTGGAGGCTGAGATGATCAACACCAAGGTGCTGGTACTGCTGGGACAAGGTACTCAATGCCTCCAGGTTAAAAGGATATGAAATGTAATTTCACTCACAGCTTCAGTTGGTTCAGTCCATGGTCAGCTGGCTCCAAGACAAACATCATGGAAGAAGGGCGTGGAGGAGCAGAGCAGAGCACATTTCATGGAGGCTGTGAAACAGAGGACTGGTAAGGAGAATCATTATTATCAGCCTCCAAATGTGTGATCATTAATTTTACCTGTCAGCAGACTGGGTTAGTGCTAACCAGATAACATTAACATTTACTTATAGGTGTATCTTTGAGGATGTTTGCTAAACAGGAACCAAAAATCTCTGGTTTCAAGATGTTCAGAAATATCATCATTCACCCTATGATGCAACCCACAGGCAATTAGCTCTAGAAACAAACATGTGAGCACTAAATACCGAGAGCTGTTGCAGACTCTGTCGTTGCCCAGACAGAAATGAAACTGTGAAACTGATCTAATGTTGTCGCATTCCAGCCTCCATCCATCTGGGAACCTTCCACCTATCTCCTCCAGAGGTTTAGTATACTCATTCTCTCCTTCATGTGGCTCGCATACTTCATAGCTGTTTCTCAGCTCAGTGATCTCTTCTGAGAGATCTTCTCCCTACTCAGACCTAAGATTCAGAAACTCCAGTGTATCCCAGCAGCACTTTCTACTTTATACCCAACTCTTTCTGCATGTTTGTGACCACTCCCTAAATAGAGACCAAATGCTTCTCTCCAGAGAGAAGGGCTGCGTACCTTGGATACATGTTAAATTTTGCCCAGATTTTGGCATGCACTGAGCCTTTGGTAACCATTATTAAATGAATCCATGTCTAAGTAAAACACCACCTGATTCTGTTAACCTAGTACTTCGAATATCACATCAAGAAAAACTTACACATTAATATCCTAAATCTTGTCACAGTTACAGTCTGCTTCATCTTTCTTTGTAAATGATCTTTGATCTCCCCTTACCATTCAAACAGCAATTGTCAACTACTATGCTATGCACAATGATATACAGATCAGCCCTGTGCTATGGATCATTCTGAAAGCCTGGATCACAGTTTTAAGGCAGAATTAAAATGAACCTAAGTAGATTTTGATGTATGAATTTCAGGCAAAGTTCTTATTCTATTCTTAACAATGTACAATTCAGGAACAGTACTGGCTCAAGTGCAGTGTCAGCTTAATTGACTTTGGGATCCAGCTGGGGACCCCATCAACACACTGTATCTGGGTGAGTCTTGGACATATTTGGGTGGGTCCTGAAGGCCAATATCTGGTCTCTTGTCCCTTCCTCTCTGCCACTGTTCCCTGTTCTGCTTCTGGCTGTGATGAACTAAGTAGCTTTGCTTTCACCAAGACCTTCTGCTATAATACTACTGCCCTGGAGCCGGATAACTGCAGACTGAATCCTCCAAAAACCTAAGGTAAATTAAATCACTAACTCTTTAAATTGTGGGTTTCAGGTGTTGTGTATCAGTGATAAGAGAACTAACTATTAATACAGGAAATACATGTGACATTTCATATAGGAAAAAAGAATAAAAGCCAACATCTCCTACTTAAACCTGGTTAACCTGCACACCCCGGGAAGATCACTGAATAGTTAATTCCATTATATGGTTAATTCTTCTCTCTGCAAACATATAGTACAAATGTGAGGTCTCCTCTTGCTGCCTGAGGCTGTTAAAGCAGTACTTATGGGGAAGGAGGAAATCAAACATCCAAGAGAATCAGTGAGGATTAGTATAAATGGTCATTAGGTAAAGTTTTTTTTTCTTTACTAAAATGAACTACACAATTCATTCCATAATATATATATATATATATATATATATATATATATATATATATTGTACCAGGGATCAAATTCACAACCCACACTTGTCAGACAGGCGCTTATGCCACTGAGCTAAATCCCCAGCCCTCACATGATATTCTTATTTAAAACAAGAGTTGAAGAAGCAAGATTGGAGAGAAGCCTCCCTTCAACTCAGCTCTTCACTGATGTGGCACGATCTTAATTTTATAGAGAATCTTTCAGATTTTCAAAATGCTTTACCTTTGATACCTGCTTGCTCAAAAACTAGCAGTGAAGTACTAAATAAGAACTGTGATGCACTAATCAGGAAATTTTAACAGCCGTTAACTTGCCAACATGTCTGCTTTAAACAAGGCACCCAGTAAGACCTATCAGCCTGTATTTCTGGTCATCTCCCACCCACAAATTGATCCTTAGAGTAGCAGATGGACAGGGTGAGCAGTGGTGTGTGGGTGTGTAGGGAGCACGGAGTAGTTAACCACCCACTATCACCCAGTGTGACTGTACTGCAGACAACACCCGATCCAGGTTCAGATGAAGTCAAGAAGATAATTGCAAGGTCAGCGTAGGCCCCTGAAGGAAGGTGAGGTCAGCAGCTACACTGAGTCCATCTGACTCAGAATGGGGCCCCTCCAGAACAGAAGCAAAACTCAGGAGCAGGGGACGCACTTCCCAAGGGATTGCTGCAGGGGTGCGGAAGTTGGTGAAAACAGGATTCAATCTAGCTTAGTAGAACATTGGTTCTTCAAGATGATCATTTAAGTTGATCAACAAGTGTAATATGAATGAAAATTGATAGCCTAAATTGACAACAACAGCAACAGAGAATCCACAGTGACAAGACAGAAACTGCAGTCACCGAGTGGAGTCAGTGATAAGACAGCTCATGTCTCGTGATATCTAATAGCATGAAACTCAGCCCCCAGAGCACAGGAAGGAGGAAATCATGTGCACCGAAATCAGCTTCCTTCACTGGTGGTGTGTGGTGCACAACACTTCTCCTTCTGACAAGTCATCAGGGATTCAGCACTCACATCCTGCAAGAGAAGAGACAGAGACTAGGAGACACACGAAGTTGTCAAGGTCACACATACACTAAGTACAACAGACAGAATTGAAATCTAAGCCAAAAGACATGTTTAAGGAAGACAGTGAGTGCCTTCAGCTGTGGAGTGGCCTTCATATAAAGGGCATCTTTGCATCCATGAGGGGCTGCTGGCCCAGGACTCTTCCAGATCCAGTTATGCACAGTGGTGGTGCACTTACCCGAGTGTGGTACTCTAACCTCTCAGGCAGATGCTTGGTAGAAAATGTTTAAAATATCATCTCAGAATTGAAACATCAGTTCCCAGATTAATTTAATGATCTCATTTAGTGGGAAAGACTTAGACATACACTTGTTTAATTTACTCTCAATTAAGCCATTATGTAATTGAATCTTACCAGAACTATTGGATTAGGTTACAGTTGAACCAATGGAAAGATAAGCTTTTGGTTAAAATCAGGAGAAAAACAGACCTAAATGAATTTCTCCATTGCTTCACACATTGTTGGATATATGAGAAAATTATCCTGGCATAAAGAAACAGAAAAGCTTCTTCTCAGAAAGAAACTAATCTTTCTTTGGCTGACTCCATTCAGGTTTTGCATCACTGGCTTGGTGCCCTTGTTTGAAATTTGGTCAACAATTACTTGGCATCACATTAGGAGGTCTTAGGAGCATTTCTCTGTGCAAATAGACTTTATTGATGAAGGACAGCGGTTGCGGACTTTATGGCTAATGGAGGGTGGGTGAGTCTACATGAAAATGATTCTCCCGTGCGTGGTTCACGCTGAATCATAGGTGCCTCCTGCAGTCAAATGCGATTCAGTTATCAATGCTTCTTGTGGGCCAGATATTGTGATTAACATTAGAAATGCAAGGGAGAGAGAACAAAAGCAGATAGAGGAGTAATCACATGTAACACAACACATCTCATCATGGGCACTGCAGTGAATTATAATTTCAGCCAGAAGATGCACGGGAGTAGGAAGAAAGGTGCTGTGAAAATCCTCCCAGATGAAGCATGAGGAAAGCAGTTCCTGGCGGATGGAGGCAGCTCCTTGATGCACAAGGGGGAATGGGAAACGGTACCCTTAGACATGCTGCCGCTGCTCCATACTTTTGGAGAGTGTGGCCGTTCGGGCAGCACAGCTGTGTAAATATCTTCCACTTCTATCTGTTAACTGTGGGCCACTACTGGAGCATCACCAGCAAAACCAGCACCTCTGCTTGTTAGCTGTAACTGGGAAAAAGAAATGAGAAGCCAGGCCCCAAACCTGACAGCCAATGATGACAGCAACCTGGAAAAGAGACAATGAGAGACAGGAAACAGTAGAAACAGAAAAAGAGAATCTGTGGCATGTAAATTGTTCCTCTAACAGTTTGGAAAAAGAGACTCCTTAGAAAGTAGATCTTGTTTATCTAAAGCTGAAAAGGTTTTCATTTTGCCAATGGTGCACAGAAGTCTGCTGAGCGGCACACTTGCTATAGCTCTGGAATTTCTCTACGCATCCATGGAGTGTGCCTGCTCAGCACATCGATGGGACATTGACCTATTCTATCACATTCTTAAGGAAGCTATTTTGAAAATTAGCATAATTAACAGGCTACTTGCAGAGTCATCAGGGGTTTGAGTGAGTTATTCCAAGCATAAAATTAGTTTCACGTGAGGAAAATCTGTGATAGTGTGCAGCTTGCAGAAATGCTGTATCCTGGAAACATCCGGGAAGGAAGTTTAATAAAATGACTGTTTACAGGACAGGGAGAACCCAGGAGAGCCAAGAACAGACAGGTAGATAACCTCAGGGACCAGCCGCCTTGGTCTGAAGGGGCAGGACCAGGAGGATGGTGCCTGGAACTTGCGGGACTGATGTGCTGGGTGAAGGCAACTGGAGGTCTGGCGAGGAGGGCACCATGGTTACAGCAATGGAGCCACAGAGGACGCCCGTTCTGGAGGAATGGGACCACAGCCAGCATCCGCTCTCTTCTCACACTGCTCTCCTGCTGTCCTGGCATATGTGTTGTGTGAAAACAGCTTCAAGAGAGGAACAGGACAACTGAGCTCAGTGATGGTGTGATCACCCAGGATGCAGAAGGCAGAGAACAAGCTGGGAGGATGGGGAGGGAGAAGGGGTGGCTGCAGGCACAGGGCCCTGGAGAAGGTGACCACTGCTGCTCTTCTGCAGGGCAGCTGCGCTAGCTCAGCAGGCTGCTTCACCTGGTCTCAGGATGTGAGGTTCCAACTCCTGCTGGGCTCCACCACGCTCCAGTCAGTAAGCACGAATCTGCCATCCTTAGTGTCTTGTTTAGATGTCTAATTGTTCTATTTAGTACGCTACCTTATGCTTCTGATTATTTATAAAAAAAAAACTGAATGAGTAGATAAAATAAGAGAAGATGAACAAAGATCTTGGTACATTATCTCAGGAAAAATAAACTTCCAAAGTGACATTACTAAAATCACAAAATCTGGCCATTCAGAGACGAGCCAGCGACAGCTGTACCACATTCGATCCCATCTCTCTGCCTCCCTCCTTGTGCTCTGGTCAGTCATCAGTGCCAGGAGAAGGTAAGTGAGAACTCCGGTTTCAGGCTGACCAAAGTGTCTTCTCCCGGGGGAGGGGGCAGGCATTGAAAAACAGCCGTTGTTGCATGAATTGCTGGTTGAAATAACATCCCAGTGCAACAAGGATTTGGGCTTAATAGGTTTCTAGTGCATTAACTCAGCCAGTTTTATGGAATTATAGACATATTTTCATAACAAGTAATCTACTTATTATTCACAATCTTCAGAGCAGTAGCTTAATGTTACATAGCCCCTAAAATACACTCAATAAAACAGCAGTGCCTGTCTCTCCCCTCTCTTCAGAGACGTCTTCTCTACTGCCTTCCTTAGAGACACTTGGAGGCCTCCCCTGTCATTTCCGAGGCATGGCTGCTTAATCAAGGGTGCAAGTCCATTGCCGAGCATCACAGAACTGAGAGTAATAAACAACAAATATGCAGAACTGACAAAAACAAACAAATCATGTTTAAGATTTTTCATCCTGGGGTTTTGTGAAGAAACAGAAAAGGGAGAACCTTAGCTGTGATTCCTGAGCCTTGCTCTTCAATGGTCAGTATCACTAATCATTAAGAAGTGAATTCCATGAAACGGGGCTTTTGGAAGGGGGACCCTAGCGTCCCCATACTGTCCCCTGGGGGTGACTGCACTTCTAACCCAGAAGATGACAATGGCTGGTGAATGCGAATGTAATGTATGATTGTGATGACTCCATGAAAATGGTCAGTTACACTGAGCATGTGGACACGACATTGAAACATTCCAGCTTTTAGCTTACAGGGCAGTGGATCTGGGAATGCACGAAGGGGAAGGTAGAGGAGAGGAAAAGGAAGTGGAAAAGATCAGCCTGCCATGTGTGTATGTACCAATGTATTTATTATGTGTTACACCAGACACTAGTAGTAAAAACTTATAATTTAGTCTTGAACATTTAATGGTTAAAAGGAATAAAATTAGGTCCCAGGAATATGCATGGATTTTCATAAAAACCTGCTCCACAGCTATTTCCCACAGTCTCTAAGCACAGTTCTGATGCAGGATTCAAACCCAAGTAAGGCAGAGCATGTAACCAGCACATTTTAAGTCCTGACACAGAGGACTAGGCAAGTGCAACTATCTTTACCTACTGAATTCATCCCTCCTTTAAATACACAAAGCAAAACCCTGGAGACTCCCTCAATGTCTTCTGCTTCCCTTGCTTCTCTTTTTGAAGAACAAATGGAAGATCTTTCCTATTTCCTTCTTAACCATAATTGCCCTAATTAGGACAGAATGATACTGTTATGGTTTGAATATGAAGCACCCCTCAAAGACTCATGTGGTGAGAGCAACAGACCTCATCATTGGGCAAATCCACAGCTAAATTCAGAGCCCGATATGCTGTAGGAGGGAGGGCTTGGTTGGAAGAAGTGGCCACTGGAGGTGGATCAGTCAGTGCTCACTAGAGAAACAGAGTTAATGCAAGATGTGTGAGTGTTACAGTTGATATTTTGCGTCAACTTGAGAAGTTTGACTAAGACACCCAGCAGGGAGCCAGGACCCTTACTTTGTAAATATCCTCAGCCTGTGCAAGAGGAGGGCACAGAGGTGGTATGAGTGCCACACCTGCCCTGGAAGGGGGGATGGTGACTTGTGTACAATATAAGGGAGGAGAAGATGCTTGTTCTCCCTGCTTTTGCTCTTGTAGCCTTGCTGTCTTGAAATGTTGCCCCTGTTCCATGCCACACTGCCTCAGAGCCAGCTAATTATGGACTGAAACCTCCACACACTGTAAGCCTAATTTGAAGTGTTGGGTATTTTGTCCTAGCAACAAGAGAAAAGTAACCAAGATAGTAGGTTTATAAGGATTACAAGATAGGCTCACAATGGCTGCTCACAGAGCCGGGTGTGGAACTGTGCAGAAGGTTTCTACAAGCTAGAGATGAGAAGGAATCAGTCAAAGGCCTGGAGCTCACTGCAGCGTCCTGTGTCAGTTGTATCAGGAGGCTAAAGGGTCAGTGATGAAAGGTGGAAGGGTCTATGCTAGAAGACAACATCCAAGGTGAATGTGAAGAGAGGAGCTCCTGTAGAGGAACAGAAGCAGCCTTCCTGCCTCGCTTCCCCTTCATTTCCTTCAGACAGCAGGTCTCAGGGTTGCTTTCACTCACACCCAGCAAACCGCAGCACATGTTCAGCAAATGCCATCAGCCATCCCCAGAGCCACGCCTACCCAATGTAGTTACTCAAGTTGACACAGTTAATTGTCACAGGCGATGTGACATGCAAAGGTGTTTTCTTGTCCTTGTCTCCCTCTTTTCTCCCTGGCACTGTCTCTGTCTCTGTCTCTCTGTCTGTCTGTGTCTGTGTCTGTGTCTGTGTCTGTGTCTGTGTCTGTGTCCGTGTCTCTGTCTCTTTCTCTGTCATTCTGTCCCTCTCTCCTGCCTGCCATGAGATACATAATTCTCCTCCTGGTCCTGGCCCCAGGCCGTTTCTACCTTGAAGTCAGCCAAACATGGACTAAAACCTTGAGCCACAATAAATCTCTTCTACTTTAATTTGTGTGTGTGTCAAGCACTTTGCCCAGCAATGGAAAGCAAAGACAAATACTCTGTCTAAACCCTGTATTCCCTGCTTTTCCCTTCCTTAATTCTGTTCCTGCGACCTAAGGTCTCCATGAAGTGATCACAGGTCACAGTGTACAAGAGTCCAAGTTTCCTGACCCCTAAACCACTGTTTCTAACTGCTTTAAAGTCTGCCATCTGCGTTTATTTTAAACCTCATCTCTGTTATTGCACTTTCTAACACTGCAAAACATTGGAGATGCTCCCCATGTAGAGACGAGGCTGCTTTGGCTCACAGCTCTGGAAGCTGCAGTCCCAGTTCTGGTGCACCCCTTCCTTCTGGGCCTGAGGCAAAGCCAGGCATCACAGCAGTGGCATGTGGAGAGGCAGCTGTTCAGCTCATGGCGGCCAAGGGTCTGAGGGGAAGAATATGAGGCCAGCAGCACACAGCACCCCTTAGGGCCCAGAACACATGGATGAGAACTCCCTGTGCAGCCCACCTTTAAAGGAACCCCCCATCCAATGGTGTCCAGTGCAGACCAAGCCATCAACACATGGGCACCCACGTGGATGAGGCTACAGGGCCTGTCCATGCCTCACTTCGTCCCTTATCCCCACTCTCAGAGTGGAATGAAATGGTCACTTTGTGGGTTTGTTTACTTGTGTGTATGAAGATTTAGTGCCAAGCTGTGTTTGACTCCTTCATTTTAACTCTAAGTACAGTCTGTGGTGCACGTGGAAAACAGCTCAACTTGAAAGGAAATACAAGCTCATGGATCCTAATTTTGAGAATATGTAGGGAGGATCTACAAATACAGAAGTGATTTGGCTGATGCTATGGGGCATCTACACGTTTGGAGAGGCTCTGTGCCTGTTTCATTTCTATTACATTCCCTTTAACCCCAGGTGTGCAGATAAATACAGCACAGTCACTTCTGCAGCCGCAGAACTGGGGCTTTGTGATCCACTGTACAGCTGCTGAGCATTTCTCCATGTTATGTGTTGGTCTCACAGTGATACACGAGCTCAAGCAAAGAGCTGATTAGCACGCAAAGTGTACACTGCATGAGTTGGGTCTACCTTTATTTCTTTTAGTCATTAAATGTTCAAAAGTGGATGATGAAATTTTTCTACTGTAATGTATTTTCATGATGTGAAGGGCACTAAAAGGGAATTAAAGTTTCATAAAATCTCCAATCTGCACTGTACATATATTCCTGTCTGACAAGCTGTTCTCAGTAAAGACTTGAAGGAGATTCCATTTCAATCAGTTAAAATTTGAATAAATTCAATTCAATGTCTCCTTTTCCTTTCAGCTATAAATGTGGTGAGACCCGAATAATTAATCTGAGCTCATTCTTTATATAAGATCAATGGAAAAGACACTTAATTAACATTAAAGAAAAATCACAATTGATGGTTAGACTAAACCTTTAGATCACAAAATAAAGTTCAGTGATAACAAAGTCTGTCATTTAAACCAAGGTATTTAAATGTAAATGCCCATAAGTAAGATAAAGACACCCCAAGACTGAGCTTGAATGTACAGTAAAGAAGGGGACTGTGAGTGGAAATGAAGAGCAGTGCCTGTTACACTTAAACCCGAGTTCACTTTCCTTGCGATAATAATAATAATAATAAATCATGCTGGTAAACTGCATAGATAATTTCACATATTTATAGCCAATTTCACTTCTCAATATAGATCATCGAGTTTATTTTATTCTCAAAGCATGAAGCAATAACCCCAGGGGAGACAATTTCTCTATTTTTCTTTTTATATTTCTAACTTTAATTATTTTCCTATATTTTATTTTATTCCTCCTCTCCTGAAATGGCAGGAAGCTCTTGCTGGAATCATCAAAATACGGCTAGAAGCTAAGGACACCACAGCCTAGTGTTTGCACAACCTCTGAAAAGGACTTTTACTACCTGATAATCCATGTTAATAGCTCCGCGTTAAATTACTCGCATATTTTCTGCCTCTGGACTCCACCCTGAGCCATGTAAACACTTGAACACAGCTTCTGCTAACAGAACCTTGTTCACACAGATTTATGCCCAGGCTTGCTGGCATCTCTGTTTCTTCCTGCTGACCACTGACCTGCTGGCCCTCAACATTTGCTCTAACACCCGATGTGCAGTTATGCTTAATTCCAATGCCTTATTATCACCTCGGGCGTGATTCCTTTGCCAGGATATTGATTTTCACCAATCAGTGCCTTCAGGCCTGACTGGGACAATTTTGTGTACAGATACCCAACCTCTGACCTACTAGTCAAAAGCAATGTGTGTTTATTTTAGTGACATCCACACGTGGACTACTCGGTAGTCTCCTCTTTCTTTTAGCAATAATGTCATGTGTCCTCTAATAAGTAGTCTAGTTAATGCTACTGTTACCATTAATAAGAAATAATGGTCCCAACCTTTATTATGTGCTTACTTTTCTGTCAAGTAGTGGAAAGGCAGAACTTATTTAATTCCCAGAAGAGTCCTGCTAGGTAATCACTGCTATAAACCCATTTTACGGGTAGTAAGACTGCAGCTTGCAGGGATTCAGGAATGCAGGTGTGAAGAAGCAGCTCATAAAGCATGGTGGAAGTGGTGAGCTTCATGTCTGGGCTACATGTGCCTCGTTCTCTAAGAAAACCTGTGGATCCACAGGCCTCTGTTATAATTATGGAAAATTAAACCATTATTGTCTAGTGCACATTTTTGCCAACAGAGATCACAAATTCATTTCCCCGTGATTTAACAAATCTGTTTTATTTTCATGGACTTCTCCACAACCACTGAATTTAACAATCATTTGTCCTATTTAAAAGAATATCAATGTGTTAATATCTCCGTATGGTGACATTTGATTCAGTAATTATTACAAAGATGACAGAAATTATTTCAATGCATGTGAGACTGATTGGACTGACCTAGAGAATGTCAAGGACAGCTAGCATTTTGCCATGATAACCCCAGCTACTAAACTTTGGGTGATAGAAAGATTACAGACTACACTTTAGATTCAATTTAATTAATTAAACAAGACCCTATCCATTAAAAGGATGATTTATGCTTTGAAATACAGTTAGCTTAGGGGCTGGGGATTTAGCTCAGCAGCATAAGTGCCTGCCTTTCAAGCAAGCAGTCATGAGTTCGATCCCCAGTACAAATAAAAAGAAAGAAAGAAAGAAAGAAAGAAAGAAATACAGTTAGCTCACGCGTGGAGTATATTTAATCTATCGAAAAATCAACTGTTGCTAGTGGGGTGAAAAGGGAATAAATTATTTTAAAACATAATTACATGGGTTTACCAAGTAATTGGAAGTGATTGTGAGTCTAGTAACAAACGAACAGATTATAAATGCAATTAATTAGCTTTTACCCAACAAAGCATGAAATTTAATTTCTATTCTACCAGGTAACACTAGATGCCAGCCAGTGCACTCTCCTTTGCAAGTCTGATTTAGGATAAATTAACACTGATTAGAAGTCATGCGGTTGGCACATTCAACATGGGAGTCTGGACAGCTGGGATTCTGATTGGAGGAGGGAGCTGTGTTATGGCAGCTGAAATGTGTGTGTGTGTTGCAAAAAACAAGTGTTTTACACATTTAGGTGGAGCTACCCATGGCTCACTCCTTTTTACATCTGAGAAGTATTTTATATATACAGTCATCGGGATATTTTAGTTTTTATCCATTCACGTGTTGACAGCCATATGGATTATTTCTAGTGTTTGGAAAGTATGAATCATGCTGATGTAAACATTTTTGTGGTTTTGTGTGAACATAAATTCTTATTTGTGTGGTTTAAATACTTGGCAGTGGGGTTTCCCAATTGGATGGGAAACACATGTCTAATTTTCCAAACAACTGTCCAGTGGTTGTAATGGTTCTGTATTTTACTCCTGTGAGCAATGCATGAAATTTTAGTTCCTGTATCTCATCGCCAACACTTGGCATTATCAGATTTTTTAACTGCCTGTCCATATCTATGAAAAAAAAGCCCACTGATATGGTTGTGATTACATCAAATCCGCAAATCAGTTACAGGAAAACAGACATCCCTGGCCCACTGCGTGTTGCTCCATTTATGTCCTGATTTGGATTCTTTCAGTAGGGTTTTGTAGTTAGCAACAAACAGGCCCTGAACTTAACATTATCATGTTACAGTCTGTCTCATCTCTTGGTGGATACAGGTATAGTTCTGTTTGATTCTTTAACTCTGCCCTCTTATTGTTCTTTGCATAGTTATTCTTGCTGTACTACATTGATCTTCAACCTCACATCCTTTCTAGACATTTTTTGTTAGACTTTTTGAGATTTTCCATGCACATAATTATCATATTCGTAGCTAGTTTTATTTCCTCCTTCCCAGACTTTGTTGACTTTTTTCCTCAATGTATTTTATTTGTCATGGAAATTTATTGTTAAACTTTCAAATATTTTATAGATGTACCAGCTCACTTGTTATTGATTTCCAGTTAATTTTCAAGATTTTCATCCAGTATCTGTCCCTGCCTGGACACCTGTGCTCCCTAGGGCCCCTGAAACTGGACCTGCCTCAGGAACCAAATGCAACAGGACAGAAGGCAATGAGATGCCCTGGGGACTCTCCTGACAGTGCTCTGATGGAGGAGGAAGACTTTCCAACTCTACCCGTCAAGGAGAAGGATTTTCCTTCAGTTGTAAGTGTCTGAGCTGCAGCAGCTGCCTCTCACCCCTTGGAGAGTACTTTAGGAACCCAGTCTTACCTTGGGCCTGTAGAGCACAGTAAACAGAAAGATTTCTCTGTTTCTATTCCTCCAGGGGCCCAAGCTTCAAGGGTACCAGGGGGTTTCTGTTGGAGCTTTTCTGAGCCTGCCTATTCCAACCTTTAAGGATTCTGGCTTACCTCAGCCTTATCCAAGCTACATGGGATGAAACGCGTGCACACGCACACACACACACACACACACACACACATGCCCCACAGAGCACACCACCTGCTGGTAATATGGTTTCCAGCTGAGACCCTTAGTTGTCATCACTGGAAAAGGTAAAGTATCTTTTAAGATTTGTATCTATAAGGTGTTCCCCAAAAGTCTCATCAGAGTTGGGATTTCAGAGTGGACTGAATCAGGTGGGTGCTGCACTGGCCCATGGACTGAGCTACTGATGAGTTCATAGCTGAATGTACTCCTGGCAGTGAGGCCTGCTGGGAATTCCTTTGAGATGGCATCCCCTCTGTTTGTTGAGTGCTTCTATGTGCATTTGTCACTGAATTTACCTGACTCAGTGGTACATAAAACACATATTCTTTGCACAGATGAGGGAATGAAAATTCAAAGAGCTTATGTAGCGTGTTCAGCAGACCTAAGATATGCAAGTCTGGCTGATGGCACCCCTAATGGAAACACGAGGAAGCAATACATCACTAAGGGTGAACTTTAGAGGGTACAATACACCTACATCTGGTGCCCTTCCCTTCTCTCTCTGCTCCCTGGCTTCCAAGTGGTAAGAAACTTTCCTCTGCTTTGCCCTTTTGGCCATGATGGTTTGTATCTTCAAGCCAGCAGACGATGGACTGAATCCTCTCAACTGTGAGCCAAATGAAAACTCTCCTCTGCTAAGCTGTGGATGTTGAATGTTGTGTCCCAGCAATGGATGAAGCTGGCCTACACAGTGATCTTACTCTATCTCAACAAGTAGTACACTTCCGGGTCCTTGGCTTTGTGGGTTTTCAGACTATGTGCTTGGAATCTGTGATAGGTTAGCAGATTCTGCTCCTTGGAAACCGAGGGCTTATAGGGCTACCCCTCCTGTCTTTATCTTCACCTTCATCTTCAGCCTCCCTCCTGTCTTCAAGGTGTCCATTCAGCACAGAGGAGGAATCTTCGAATGATCCAGTGTCTCAGGGGCCAGAGTCCTAACTGGCTCTGGGCATAAGCAGAAGTTAGGTTTCTCTCCTTGATTCTAACCAGTCACCGAGAGCTTTCCATGGGGTCCAGCTTCACTCCTCAGGATCTTTAAATCAGCATCTTTCCTCCACTTTTCAGTTTAATCTTACAGCTCACTTTACAGAGATTACCTAGCTGCTCTGGTCTACAGTCCCTGTCCTTGTGTAGCTCCTGGGCTGCCCTTAAGAAGATCAGAGTGATTTCCTTCCCCTGCCGAGGAGATGGGCCCTCAGGACCACCCTATGGGTGCAGTTATCCAGGCTTGTACCCCGTCCCCAGCACTCTGAATTCAATCGTGCTACTTCATGTCTTTCAACTTTCATTCCCTCAGCTGTGCAACAAGCATATTTCCTGTATCAGTGCATGGAGCAGACTAAATGGGAAGTGCGGCCCTAAACATCTAACAGACCTAGTTCATACCCAAAGGTTTCTCAAAGAAAGATCATTTACCTTCTCTCCATGAAGTCCTGTCTTTAGGGCTGAATTTTCCATAGTGCCCTACAGACCACTCATCCCAGGAAACAAGAAAGAGAGTGGGGTCAAAGGTTCTATGGTCAAGGCAGGCCAGATGCTGCCAGACATGGGACTTTAGCCTTAAAGAGGCACAATACTGACTTACTGAGAATGCTGAACAATTCTCAGTTAAAAAGTCCCAGCTGTTCTGTTGAACCCTGAGTATCCCCAAATTATGGGAAATGGAGTATATTCCCTTCATCTACTCCTACTCAATTCTATTGAAAGTGAATCCCGAATTTTCTCTTCCACAAGCCTTGTAGACAGCAGGACACAACCCTAGCACCTACAGTAATTCATAGTGTCCAGTACCTCTCAAGATCCACATGAGTAATAATTCACCCCTTTTTCTCTCCTTCTCCTCTTACCAGCAGCTAAAAGGGATACTTTGGGGCTCTTGCAAATGCTGCCTGAGAGCAGGTCTGCCTTCCCTCTCCTCAGGCCCACCACTTAGCACCACTAATCTGCAAGGTGTGGGTGATTACCAGGGTAATTATCACAGCAGCAGCTTGACAGCCAGGAAAGCATCGGCGCCCCAAGCTGTTCTATGAAAATTCTGCCTGGAAAGGTGGTGAGAGAGGAGAGCCAGGAAAGTTGTCCTAGGCTCAGAGTTTAATGCCTGCTTTTCCAAACACCTTGCTATGCCTTGTCAGCAGTGCCAGTGATCAGCTGTAGCTGGTTCTCTTTCCTCTTCCCACCCTGTACCTAAGGATCTTTTGCCCCACTTAGCAATCTGGACAAGCATATATTGAGTGCTATATAAGGAACTAAATAGAGTAGAAAAGCATAGCTCTTGTTTTTCAGTTTTCAGTCCTTGAATATTCAATTTCAACAGCAATCACAGGTTCCTGTGTGGTATAGATGGAGAAGGCATTGATAAAGTCCTGATGAATGTTACCACGAGGTGCGGGGAAGCCCTAGGAAGATGAGGATGAGGTGGACATTACTTCCTCCAGGGAGAACATGAGACGAGCCTTAGGAAGAAGAGCATTTGACCAAGATTCAAGGAGATTCTCTCCTGAACTGACTAAGGCAACTGATGTATCCCCAGCTGATGACTCGTTAATATATAAGTTTTGAAAAAGATTTTGAGTTTGTTATTAATGTCTAGGGCTGCAAGATTAAGCTTGTGAGTGTGAAGGAAAGGGTATTCTAGACAGAGTGAAAGTCTCCGGTTAATGTGCAAAAGTTGTGGTCTTCAGGTGTTGAGAAGGGATAGACTGGGAGAACCTGGAGGTCTGGATTCCATCTCTACTGTCACCAGGAAGCTGGGTCGTCGGTCCTTTGTGCCTTGGATGAAAGAGTTTAGTCAAGACACACAGGCAACCATGCGGAAGTGTGGTAAAGTTTATGGTAAAGCAGAGGTTGCCTTATGTCTTCAAGGGAGAAGGCGGGCAGCATCACAAAGACATCAACCTTGGGAAAGTGGCTGTGGGTATCTTTTGTATGAAAGAGTTATTCTTGGAGTTTGGGGCTCTGTGGTGATTATGATGCTTAACAATATTTTTTGCAAAGGTTACTCTGGAATTGCTAAGTGTTCTTGTTTTCTATTCCAATGGTCAGTGTTCCCTGCAGAGCCTTCATTACATAAACATTTATAAAAGACATTTATGAAAGATAACTTCTAATATGAACCAGGTCCCACCCAGCCCAAAGTGGGAAGACCTTTAAAGAATGTTTCCTTTCCTGATATCTTTGGACGATGCTAAGTTTGCTTTGTGCTTGAAACAGGGGCCCTGGCCCTCAAGTCTGAGACCTAACAAGGGATCATCAGTGTGCTTCATTCTGAGCTCTGTGTTTCCTTACTGAGCTACAGCTGATGAAGCCTGCTGCTGAGGACCACCGCCCACGTGTCTCATTCCTCAGCCCTTTTAATGTCTGGACATCTAGGTAACATCAATTTCCAATTTCTAGCTCTGGAAGTGCCTTAGGATCTTTACCTGCTTCACCACCTGCGGAATTCCTAGCTGGTGTTTGTACCAATTTGAGACATCACCTGTAGCTCCCTGATACCCACAGGCCCTAACATCCTGTCCCCTGGTGAAAGTGATGTACGGAAATGAAACTGCCTGCCTACTATGTGTCTGGCATCAGTTCGTGTTCTCTAAAACTGAAGAATGAATTTTAGGAACAACAGAGATTAAGAGCAGGATATATTTATTGAGAGAAAAATAAAACTCCCATCTTAGAGAGACAGAAGGAGTGCGTAGTGGATTACTACATACTCTGCACTTTTCTAGTGACCTTTATAGGGCAAAACCTTGAAGTGAGACGGGTCCAATGCCAGGAAAGCTCACAAGGCAGGCTTGGGGTGGGACACATCTATGGTCAACCAATAAGATTAATTGTCCAAGTAAAACTGATTGAGTCAGGGACAAATGTGGAAGCAAGTCATGGTAACAAGCAGGCATGCATACAGAGCAATGACTCTTCCTGTAGGGGGTTTGGATGGTGACTCCTGGTTCCTCAGGGTGATAGAGAAATACTGAGAATATCAATCCTGAGACTGTAGGCGCATTTGCTTGATCTTTTGACTTGAGGCCTGGCCCACAGCAGGCGGTGTCTGCCTCCCCCACAGTTGCAAGGTACCTGGGCTTCTGCACTGGCTCCCTTGAGGACCAGCCCAGTCTGACTACCTGTAACATTCCCATCTAAGTCAGCTACCTGGAGCAGAAGCATACGGGTTTGTGGAAGGCACCAACCTCTTCAGGAACCTCTGGGAGGCCAGGGACCAGGGGTGCCTGGAAAGTGATAGCTTCTCTGGGGAATAAAGGAGGAAAGAAAGAATGAGAATGATGTCTGTTCCAACACTGGCAGGAGAATAATCAGGATGCCACTGTGGGTGCTGATACTGGAACGTTCTCTCTGCTTGTTTTCAAAACCTGTTTGTGTCAAACCAATGTGAGCTCTTCCAGCACAACCTTTTTCCTACGAACACAGCAGTTTGTCAAAGCGGGTTATTTCATACCAAAAACAAACCACAGGTGGCCACAGGCCTACAGCCTTCAAGATTAGCGACCTCTAATTATCTTATGAAAAGGAAAGAACTGGGCATCTAAAGTCCCCTTCCAAAGATTTTCCTCTGCGTGTTTTTGTTAATAACACAATGTGCTGCAGATGTGGGGTTGAGGCAGGCCAACAACTCCGCTGAGATTCATCACTCAGCCCTTATGGGGCTGAAAGCTGTGTAGAATCAGCAAGCAAAGGATGGGGAAATATTAAGTCAGTAGGGACCTCATTCACAGACCATATGCTTTACAGTAAATTCTAGCAAATCTCATTTTTGGTGGAAGGCTTATGCTACCATCAAGACACATACAGAGGAGCAAAACAAATTGTAACCTTCCTCTAGAGAAAGGGGCAAAGTGACATCCTCTCTTTTGAGAGCAATTTCCTTAGAAAGATTGTGATTCTAAGTCCTTTCTGGGTCCTTTGGAGAGGCACGTAAATCTTTTCACAAGCTAAGGCACTTTCTTGGCAGTTTTAGCATCAAAAATGCTTTCCTCCAGGACTCCCGAAACCACTTCATTGAAATGCAAAATGTCAAGGAAGTTAGGGTCTCTACCTCCCCTGGGGGAAGGAGAGGGGTAAATCAATGCAGGTGCAGGCTCCAACTTCTGACACTACCTGATTGTCATGGAGATTTCAGAAGTTCTGTTTTCAGTCTGGTAAAAGCAATTACCTTGGCCACCTTAGCTAACAGGGGGATGTAGGCATGGACCTGGTGGAAGACAGGATGCTCATTCCTGCTGCCCGGCCGCTAGCTTAGTATTTACCCAGAGAAAACACACCGATGGGGTAGCACCCCATAGGACAGGGACCCTCTGGAGGACAAGTGTTGGAGGGGTCCTGACACGTCACCTTCTTCAGGAAGGACCTGCCCCCTTCCCTTTTCCTAATTACTGACCCAGGGACCTTGCAGTGTACTGTCACCAGACGGGTCTGAGGAGGTGCCCAAAGCTGAGCTCAGCCACCTAAGCCATCTATTTAGTAGAAGCACTGATGGGTTGGCAACCTAATGCATCTTATCAGTCTGGAGTGATGTAACTGGGTGGTACCAGACCTCATCGCAACCTCCCTCACCTTTGCATGGCCCCTGTGTCCTGACTGAGTTCTTTCATCAAAGGCACAGGAACTGGGGGCTCAAGGAGTTGAGGGTCTGGTCTCTTGTTGCCTGAGGACCTGGCTTCCAGTTAACAGTATGCACCTCGAACCTCAGCACTGGGGAGTTGGGAGGCTGGAGGATCAAAGTTCAGGACAAGCATGAGCTAACAGCAAGACCCCTTCTATAAACAACTAAATAAAATAAGTCAATCAATAAAAAGAAAGAGTGTTACTTATGGAAATTTTAATGCTTTGGCAAGCACTAGATTATTTGGTATTGTGGATATTTATATGCTTATTTTCTGAACAAAATGACAAACATACTTATATGCATGAAATATATTGCACATGTGTATCATTCACACTCACAAAACTTGGTACCAGCCTCACGTAGAGGTAGCTTTACGTAGTAATCATGACCTAGAAATTTGTGATTTTTTAAATTTTTTTGTACCAGGGTTTGAACTCATGACTAAAAGGATTTTGCCCTGGATGCTGCAGGCTAGGAGGTGGAACCAAGGGACTTTATCTTGAGGTCATCTTTCCTACCCCTAGGCAATTTACCTGTGGCACAAAATGAATTCTAATCAGCTGCTGGCACATCAGTAATGCCCCTTTAGGCACCCCTCCAGACCAAAGCTATATGTATGCCCCCCACACCACATGTCCCACAGAGAAAGCCAGGCCCCTGCGGTCATGGAGTTTCTCTCCATATCCTTAAAATAAAAGCCACTTTATATTCTGTCTTTTAACTACACCGAAAACTCTGAATGACCTCATGCTTGCTAGGCAGGTGCTTATGCCACTAAGCTAAACCCTGGCCCCCATTTTTTTTTTTAATCCAATACCTTTCAGAGCATCTATTTTGTGTCAAACACAGCTGGAAAATATCTGTCATTCTTTTTCTTTTACTTTTTTTCCTTGCATTAGTTGCAAATATTTTACAAGCATTCAAAGTATTAAGTTTTTAGTTTCCATGATAACATTCCAGAGGGCCCAAATTATTATTTTTTTCTTACCATGAGCAATTATTTTTTGGAGGAACTGGTTTATACAAATCACCTTTTTCCTTTCACTTGTTCAACTACCATTGGAGACAGAGGCGATGCAACTCAACCAGTGGAAAAGCCATCTGTTGCGTGTTTCTGTGGAAAGCAGATTTAAGCAGTGAGGTGGTTCCAGCAGCTGACCACAGACCTGTGAAGGCTAAGTGACCCAACGCAGGTGACTGGAGTGTAGCCCAAGGCAAACTGCTCAGCGGTGTTACTAGGATCACGCTTGACCAATAAGGCCAAGGACACAAACAGGCGAATCGAAGTGGGAAACTTTCAGACCTTCCGTCTCCCCAGAACTGCTCATCCCGCACCAGGTACCTGCTGTCCACCCTGGCCTGGACTGCAGTAGGCTCTCTACTGCCGGTAGTGGGCCATCGCTCAGAGTGTTCAGTCCCTCCGTCTCACAGACCCACAGAGTTACATCTCACACATGACTTACACTGCAGCACCTTCCTTCAGAAGCCCACAGGTGGGCAGTTTTGTTCCTAGAAGCAATGCTAACAGCGACCCCACCCACTAGCCACCCACAGGCAAGGATGCTCCTGTAATCAAACAACATCCCTCTTATTGCCAAGAGGTCAGATAATTAGGTTTTATTATAATTGTTTTTACAAGATGTCAAGCCAGTGATCCACCTTCTTCATATTTCAAGGATGAAGGAAAAGCAGACCAAGTCTTTTTTTTTTTTTTGTACCAGAGATCGAACTCATGACCTCACACTTGCCAAGCAGGCACTTGTGCTGCTGAGCTGAATCCCCAGCCCCAGACCAGATCTCTAACTCTTCTGTCCTCATTAGGTGACCAAACGTCCTGCATCTGTCCACTGTAGCAGTGCTCCCAAAACTCACTTGTGTTTCCTAAATGGAAAACCTAGTTTCTGGATTCCCACTGAAAGGATTTTGCCCTGGATGGGAAGCTGCATCTGTGGGAGGTTGGGAGGCTCTATCTTGAGGTCATGTTTCCCACCCCTAGGTAATTTACCTGTGGTGTGAAATGAATTCAACTGGGCTAACTGTGCCTCAGTAATACCCCTTAGGCACCACCCCAAACCTAAGCTGTATGTGTGCCCCCACACCAAGTGTCTGGGCAGAGAGAAAACCAGACCCAGGAGGTC